TATCATCAACAAATTGTATTCTGATTTCAACCAGTTTGTTAATTATTAACAACATTCAGTATAATTATTATAATTATTATGAAAATAATTGTAAGTTTCTATTGACAAAAAAGAATTATATTATAAATATAATTAGATATTTAAATAAATCAAGAATTATTAGATAGTATCAAGAGAATAATAAAAAAGAAAAAAGGAACAAAAATTACCAGGCTGTCCTGGTACCTAAATATCTATACATGTCCTGTATTTTGAACAAGGACAATTAACCATTTGAGTCTCAAGAAGCGCGATCGTGTTGTTCAAATCTTATGTCGAGAAAACCCAGCATATTTCGTACGTGTGGACAACTGACGGTGCGTCATCGACTGTCGAAGTCGCGCGCTTAAATTTTCTGACGCAAGTACATCACACAGCTTCTTCTTTTAATGTAAATAATACATTTTACAATAGGTACAATACTATAATAATAGTGCAATAATACATTACAAAATAAAACATTTTGTATTTCATTGTTTTCTTCTCAATAATTTTTATCGAACAAAATTTGAAGTATTTATAAACTTACAGTATGCATATGTAATAATACAGTATTTCATAAAATAACGAATTACAAATTAAAAATATTTTTGTGTTATGAACAAACAATTTAAATGAAAAGTAACACTTATAATTTGTAACATCGGTGTTTATCAAAATATATTGGATGAATTCCTTTTTTTACATTGCTCGAAAATTAAATGTGATCTTTTTATTACATTTTTGATGCTGCAGTCTACGGATTGTCGCAAGTTATGTCGTGGCAACTTTACTAAACCAAATCACTTTGTGATGGAGCGATGTAAAAAAGACGAGAATCACGTTATCTAACACATCTTATATGTACAAACCATAAAATACAAGAAGCGCTATCGCGCCGATTGAGATTCATCGACATAAAATAAACGAAGCGCTATCACGCCACTTGAGTCTTCTCGTACTCATTTAGAGAAAGCACGGTTGCGCTGTTCGGGATTCTTCGACAGTGTTTTTTCAATATTCCTTGGGACTCAAACGGTTAATACACAATAAAAATTCTTAAATCGTAAAGTAATAGGACAAAATTCAATCGAATTTTTGGAAGAAAATTTGACAAAAGAAAAGATTCAATGCAAACATATAAATCGTTGTGCCGGACAAGCCACAATTTTTCCTTTCGCTTTCATAATACCCTTGGGGATAAAGAGAAGAGAGGGTGGTACTACTCGATAAATTACGACCATAGAAACAGAAACTGCAAGAACATCTCGCGAAACTAAGCGCTTTTTTCTTCTTTTCGTTTTTTCTTCTTCTTTTGTTTTTCTTTTTCCATTTACTTTTTTCTTTTTCTTCTTTTACCCTCCAACTCTTTCGTAAGCTCCTTTGAACAAAGTTAAGTTTTGTGAAATAAGTGATAGAAGTACACAAGGATAAAAAGTAAAATGACTTAAACTTTCTATAAAATATCATCGTAACTCAAATCGTAGATATACGTGACATAATTCTTCCCAATCAAATATTAACTTCGTTTCTTTTATTTGTTATTGCAGAAATGAAAGGGATACCAAGACAACCATCTTGGATCTAATCATCGAATATTTTCACTAGTGAAACTAGGTAAAATATTGTATTTTGAGGGCAAAAATTAAAAAAAAAAAAGGAAGAGAAAAAGAAAAAAATTATCGATCCTATTCATAAGATCATATTAACTTTTCAATGATCATTAACCTGATTGTTTGAACTTAATCGAAAAATTCCTTTTTCTGACATTATTTTAATAATTTTTCTAAAGCAAAGTATCAAAAAAATTACTATTCTGTATGAATTAGACCACTTAGATTCCAATAATAATTTCAAACAATTCTCAGTTTAAAAAGTACCCAGAGAGTTCTATCTGAATTAATAAGTGAATAGAGAAAAAGTAAGAAAAAGAAAAAAAGAAGTAGAAGATAAAGAGAAAGAAAAGCGAATCAAGAATTCAGTTTGTCAGGAGGAGAAAATTCTTGATATCGATTGATCGATCGATCGATCTATTAATCTTTCGTGTTTTAAGTGAAGAAAAAAAAGAGAAATAGTAGTAGCAAATTATTGATCGTTGATAAGAGTTGGAGAAGAAAAAAACTGGATTAATATCGAAGCAATTTCTTTTCCGAGCCAGCCATATTGGATTTCGTTGAGGTTGCTAAAGCAAAAGCGGATATCCTTTTTCCTGGTACCTGGTAATGCTTTGCCTTCCTGAATTGACGAGCAAGTAGGTAGTCATTGAATAAAAAAAAACAGAGAGTTAGAGGGAGAGAGAGAGAGAGAGAGAGAGAGGAAAAGAAAAAGAAAAAAAAGAAAAAATAATACGCCGTCGGCCACGGCCACCGTCGGCGACCAACAACATGGCCGATCACGAAAGAATCAGATTGGTCGTCCTCGGTGGCGCTGCTGTTGGCAAGAGTGCCATAATACGTCGTTTATTAGGACAAGGTTTTAGTGAGAGATACAGGCCAACTGTCGAGGATTTATATTCAAGAGAATGTGTTCTTGGAAATCTAACTCTCAAAGTCGATCTTCTCGACACTACTGGTGAGTATAATACAAAATAAAAAAAAATCGATTGATTTCATTTAAAAACGTCATTTAAGTCTAATATAATCAGGAGTTCCTTGTAAACTCTAGAAATATGTCTCGCGATGTCAGATCATCCGTGATCTTGAATATGAGATGATGAACTGATCGAATTACAGTAAAACACTAAAAAACTGATCAAATTACAGGCAACAATTCCTTAATTGATTTTTATAAAGGATTATCTTCACAGGATTTTACAAAATTGTGCAAATATGTTCAACGAATGTTATTTTCATTATTTAGAAGCACTTATATATGCGAAAAAAACTTTCTCAATCATGAGTATTAATAAATTCAAATTGAGATTAAAATTAACTGATGAACATTTACTCAACTAGATAAAACTTTGGGAAACTCTACTTTAGATCCTAAAGATATCGTTCATTCTGAAATAATTTTATCTATAAAAGTGTAAAGTTAACTTGTTAAGTACGAAATCTGCGTTTTCCATAAAAAAGAAAGAAAAAGAGATAATTGACATTATCCCGATTTGATAACGAAACATTTTGATGTCCAATTGAAATTGATTTTCACGTTTTACAGGGGACTTACAATTTCCAGCTATGAGAAGATTGAGCATAGCCACGGCTCATGCTTTTCTTCTTGTTTATGCTATAACATCGTCGCCCAGTTTCGAATGTGTTAAACGATGTTTTGAAGAAGTTAGAGAACAACGTACGGACTTTCAGGTATTAGAATATTAAATAATAATCTATAAAGTATATTGTGTCTAGGATTAATGCCTAGACCATCGGTTCTAAACATTCATTTCCTATTTAGTTAAAACTATTTTCAAATAGGAAGTACCAATAGTGGTAGCTGGTAACAAAAATGATCTCGCTGCAACACGAAGAGAAGTACCAATCGAGGATGTAAGCGAATGGCTTTTCTGTGAATTACCAAAACTTCGAGCAAAGGTGATGGAGTGTTCAGCTAAAGACGATTACAATATAAAAGATATATTTAGGTGTTTCGTAACGTTATCAAGAATCGTACCAAAAAATCCAACTGGAGAATCTGACGAATCAGGATTGAGACGGAGATGTTCCGCTTATGGTTCACGAAGGTATATACAAATTATGTAATTTTATGATTTTTTAAAAGATTTTTTCAGTAACGAGACCTAATTTAAATGTTCTTTTTTTTTAACGCGGAAAAGAGTTTGTTTCTAAAGAACAAACGGATTCTACGAAGAGTGTATCCATTATTACACGATTTTGAACAACCGTGTCAATTTGCACGCCAATATGATCCGCGAAAAACTAGCAAACTAGTTCAACAACGTTGACGTACGATCGTTTTCTTTTTTTCCTTTTTTTTATTTTTCTTTTTTTTCCTTTTTTCTTTTTTTATTGCAACGTTATAATTGGAAAAATATCGTGACGTTACGAACGACCATTTCGGAGGTAACATTGTTCCTCACTAAGAAAAAAAAAGGGAAATAATAAACATGTAAATAGGTATATAAATATTGAAAATATTTTTAATTATTGACTAGAAAAAAAAAACAAATTACTTCTATTTATTTAATCAATATTTTTATTAATAATTGATAAATATTTTATAAAACAAATAGGGTCACTATATAAAAATATTTTGTTCAACATAAATAATTCAATTAGCAGAATTGTGTCAGGATTGATCAATAAAAATAATACTGATTAGTTGTGTTACATAGATACAGGTATTTTATTATAAATTATGATCATTTATTTAAAATAATGATTTAAAGTTTTTATTTTAAATACTGATTTAAAATACTGATTAAAGTACTGACATTAATAAAAAACATATCTATAACAAAAAATGAGCTCTAAATGCAATGTAAAAATTTCGTCAAGTTTGTTATAATTTCGATAAAAATTAATTGACGATAATGTATATAAGTACAACATCCAAAAAAAGTACATATCCAAAAAAAAAGAAAAAGAAAAAAGAAAACAACAATACTATTATAAAGAATGAGTTCTTGATGAAATATTCTACAAAACTTCATCATTTATTAAATAAGCTATAATTTTGAAAGGAAAAAAAAACCAATTAATTAACGAGAATATATGTATCAGTCAACCTAAATAATTAAAAAAAGATAAAGAAGAAAACGTTTTTATCATTGAATATTTTTTCAGTTTATTAATGTAATATGAAAAGTAGTTATGAAATTCCAAAAGGTATTTATGTATTCGCTTCGACGAATGAAAGCTGAATATGTACGGGCGACCGCGCGAACGCGCACGTGCGATCGAGAATTCTTTTCCGGAATTTCAATCACAAGTTTTAACTGCCTCTCGCTCGCAGACTTCCGTTTAATTGCGATCTATTGTACGTCCTACGTCAATCGACAAGAATGTATTTCCATTAAGCGATCAACTGATCTCGAAGCTACTCGGCTTCCATAAAATAAACAACTAAACTTTCAAAACGTTTGTATAACGAACTTTTTAATTATCATCATTATTATGAATATGTTATAATAACTTAAAGCATAATACAATTAAGCTTGTCATCAATTAAAAACGAACTTTTGTTTTAGAAAAAGTTTTTAATAATTTTTTTATAAATTAGTTTATGCCTTTTATTAAAGTAATAGTAATATGAAAATGTAAAAAATGAAAGAAAGGAAAAACGAATATAAAAAGAAAAATTGTTTTATTTTTATTTCTTTATCTATATATATTATAATTTATTATAATAAATATAATATAATGTTATATTATAATAAATAATATAAATATAAATATAAATATAAATATTAAATATATAGTATTAAATAATATATAAAATATTATATATAAGATTATATATAAATATATATAATATAGAATTATTATTTATTTTTATTTTTATTTTATTTTATTTCATTCTTTTTTTTATTATTTTTATTTATTTATTTTTTTATAATGTTTCTTTTCAATTAATAAAATAAATAAAATATTTTTTATATTATTAAATTTAATGAACGTTAAATTTTTTAAATATGAATTTAATAATTATAAAAGCAAAATATTTTTATTTTTTCAAGAATCTACTTTTTTCGTTCTTTGTTATTTACTTTTTTTTATATTTATATATTAAGAAATGATGCGAATCAATATAAAGTTTTTCCTAATATTTTTTTTTATAATTTTTAAAGATCTGGCAGTCCGGGAAGCAGATCAGGAAGTGCCGGTTCCGGAAGTCCTCAACCACAACTGGTTGCGACCCAAAATGTCAACGTGGTAACCACAACGGAAGAAGTGAAAAGCAAACCACGAAGTCGTAGTTTGATCAGACGTGCCTCGAGAAAAACAAAGCAACAAATTCGAGACTCTCATGCAGATGACTGCAACATTTCTTAAAGCCATCAAACAAAAAAGAAAACGAAGAATAAATAATGAAAGAAAAGAAGAAAGAAAAGAAAAGAAACAAATATGACGTCACGTTGTAATTCTTTTTCGAAAGATAATTTTGTCGATCGTCGACTCGCCGAACTTATTATTAGTCAGGATGATGAACTTATTATTAGTCAATGAGAGTCACGTGGTTAATTGAAAAAAAAAAATAGATCTCTCAAATTTTGAAAATCTGCAAAAAATAAAATTTAAAAAAAAATGAAAAAAGAAATAAGAAAAGGGGAATAAAAGAGGAAGGGAAAAACGTCTTTTAATTTTTCGTCTTATAAAATTAAAAGCAATGTTTTTATTTTATATAAAAAATCGAAATTCGCAATTTTTCTTTTTTGAAATTAAAATTCAAGATTATATATAAAAAAGAATTCTTTTTTATTTAAAATTGAAAAATAAAGAATTAGTTTTTAAGTTAAAATTGGACTAGAAAAAAATTTTTGTTTTTATATTAAAATTGTGAGTAAAAAAAAAGAAAAAAGGAATTTTGTTTAATATGAAAAAAGAAAGAGAATTTGTTTAAACGTTTGAAACCTCATATAAGGAAAGTAAAGTTAGTTCAGAATAAAAACAATATTATGAAAGAAAAAGATCTATGATCTAAAGATATTCTGTATAATAAAATTGCTTTAAAAAAGTAATATTAATTACTACTTTGTATAAAATAAATGACTGTATGTAACATAAATTGTAATGACGTATATGATAAAGTGAGCTATATTAAATATGTGTATGTATATATATATATATATATATATATATATATATATATATATATACATATATTGGTACAAACACACACGAAGAGAGAGAATAAAATAACATTACAAATTATGAAAGAAAGAAACGAAAAAGATACATTTATTTTTTTCTGTCTCTCTCTCTCTGTCTCTTCTCTCTCTCTCTCTCTCTCTCTCTCTCTCTCTCTCTCTCTCTCTCTCTCTCTCTCTCTCTCTCTCTCTCTCTCTCTCTCTCTCTCGTATAATTTAAACGTTCGATCGTTTCTTCTATGAAAAGAAAAAAAAGGAACAAAAGAGAAAAGAATTCAATAAAAAAGATGAGAGAAAACAAAGATTTTAAACAAAATTAGCTTTCGTCATAGTAAACAAAAAAAATATATATATTAAATATATATTAAATAAATATATTAAATAAAATATATCAAAATACCTTGTAGAGAAAATCGTTGGTATATATCTAATTAATCTAAGCATCCTAAGCTTTGAAATCTTACTCTTGTTGTATTGTTATATATAAATATATATATAAATTATATTATAATACATATATATACTTAATAATAATAATAATAATAATAACAATAACAATAATAATAATAATGTTAATAATAATAAAAAGGAGACCTTCCGTTCGATGCACAATTTTTTCAAAAAATATTCAGAGAAACATTTAGAAACATGACTATTATCAGAATATAAATATTTCTAATATTTTCATGAAATGTTGATGGTTATTAACGCTTAAATAATTGAAACGATTGATAGAACAAAATCGAAAGACATATTTAAAGATATTAATCCTTTGCACTGAAACATTAGTCCAATTGTGGTCAATACATTGTCCATTTATAATTATATTAATAAAAATCTGTATAAATTTGGATGTACAATTTTAATTTATATATAATAACTTTCGTAAAAGTGTTATTTATTTGCTGTCATATAAATAATGTATCCGGAGTATTTGATTATCCTGCAGACGCAAAAAAATACGTTGAGTGCAAAGAGTTAAATATTTAAGGAAAAAAAAAGAAAAAAAAATTTGTCGTTAAAATGCAAGAAAACCGATGCACAAATGGGATTGAAAAAGTACAATCGATTCAACATAATCGATTCAAAAACACAAAGACAAACGTATACACGTATACATATACACAAAGAACCACATATAGAACAGATTCATGTACGAGATAAATAATAATTAAAATGTTAACTACGAAAACTAATTATTTTTATTACCGATTATAGAAAAATAAAATTTTGATGTCTTGCGGGTGTAAAAAGAAATCAAATAATTAATTAATTAATTAATTAATTAATTGATTAATTAATTAATTAACTGGATGATATGTTTCAATAACAAATATGATAAGCTTTTGATCGATGGTTGCTTGGTGATAAAAAAAAGTAAATGAATAAAAAAAAAAGAAAAAAATATATGATACCTCTATCAACGTGCATAAAATAAAATAACTAATTGTACCTTACTAATTAATAACTATAAATTAATAATTAATAATAAATGTAACTTAACAAAATAATCGACATTTGGGAACATACAAAAAGTCGATGAATACAAAGTTGCTGACATCATATATAACAGTCAGGGGCACATTATAATTAACTTGTAATAAATGGTGTGTAACCGGTACGTGCCATTATGCACCATTATTGAATATTGCTTAATTATTCAACTTGTACTGTTCACGTAGATATTAAGAAATTGGATGTTACATGTACTTACGTGAATACTCTGTTTTTATTCAATTTCATTTTCCTTATAATTTCTTTTTATTTTAATTTATCAACGTAAACTCAAAATCCATTTCCAAACTTTTAAATTCGAGAGATATAATCGAACGCTCACGCATCACAATCATATTAACGTTTGAAATAAAAAAAATCACCAAAAAATATAAAAGAAAAACAATGAGCATATATATATATATTATTATTAAACATAAATATACTTGATAATTAAAATTTATAATTAACCGTCCCATATATAAAAAAAAAAAAGAAAGAAAAAGAAATGTGCAAGGAAGCAAATATAAATAAGAAAATAAAAATGAGTGTATAAACATAAAAAAAAAGATAAAGATGAATTAAGATTGTCGTCGACAAGGTAAATATCCTTGTTAAATCACGAATACGCTTAAACGAATACTTGGTAAAACGTTCTAATTATATACATACAATGTGTATGTGTGTATGCGATTTTTGTACTTCGACATTTTAATGCGATAGAGAGCTTTCCAATAATTAAATTTTCAATAATTGTTAATTGCGTGTACGCGTTAGAAATTCGATTATCTTGTCTTTATTCCGTCACAAGAATCTTATATTCTAATTCATTGATTGATTATATGAAATTGTCATCTATATACATAACGATACACACACATATAAGCTACCCAAAATACGATTCATCAGTAAAATCGATGTTTAAAAAAAAAATAAAAAACGATTCATCTCGATAGAAAAAAAAGAAAAAAGCATAAATATTTCAACGACACTGATTGATCCGTTTCGTGTGTATCGTTCTAAGACGATGTTATTGATCATAATCAATGGAATTAATTATAATTAATTACGATAATAAAAAAATAATTAAGAAATTTAAACCGATGAAAAAAAAACTAACAAACTGATGATCGTCATACTTGCGTAACTTTGTGTAGAGATTATAAAAAAAAAAAGAAAAAAAAACTGTCGTCCAATAGGATCTTCGATGTCGCTTCCCAATTTCTTAACGTATTTTCAAAATATTTTTTATCTTTATTTGTCATATTTGTTAGCTATATATCGCAAAACAAGCGGATCGTCCGGGTATAACAATGTAAATGAATATTTCATAGTCGTGATCCAGGGCCGGTGCGGCCTATGCAACGCATGAGAAGCGCTACAAGATTTCAAAGGGGTCAATGATAAGGGTACTTAAATTCGTATAAAAAACAATTTTTTAATATTTTCACTGAAAACGATCTTTTTAAAAAGTCGAAAAATATTCTTTATAAACATTATCTAGTAAGATTTGATGAATTCACATCTAATTATTTTGATTATTTACTTTTTATGTTACATTAAATGGTGGCGTTTTGTGATTTTTCATAACACTTCAATATTTCTATATTATCTTTATCTAAATTATATTTATTTTAAAATAGAATTACAAATAATCAAGTAATAAAAATAATTCTACGGTTCCATTTAAATTCTTGCATAAAGGAGTCAAGCACCAACTAGCGCCAGCCCTGTCGTGATCCATCGTAATCTTTCGTAATTGTTCGGGATTTAGGAACAATATAGCGTTCGTAGATTGACGTCAAATACTATTATATCATATATATACTATTATATCATATATATATATATATATATATACTATTATATCATATATATATATATATATATATACTATTATATCATATATATATATATATATATATACTATTATATCATATATATATATATATATATATATATACTATTATATCATATATATATATATATATATATATATATATATATACTATTATATCATATATATATATATATATATATATATACTATTATATCATATATATATATATATATATATATATATACTATTATATCATATATATATATATATATACTATTATATCATATATATATATATATATATATACTATTATATCATATATATATATATATATATACTATTATATCATATATATATATATATATATATACTATTATATCATATATATATATATATATACTATTATATCATATATATATATATATATATATATATATATATATATATAACTAATTACTATATTAAGCTATTACATTTCTCTATTAATCTTTAAGTTAATGAGAGAGGCTAAGCTACAAATCAAAATAAGAAATTCAATCTTTGAGAGACACATGCTATATGCTAATTACCTGTCTGTCTTTTTAGAATTATTACGAATAATACAACGTAAGAAACATGTAAATTTCTATTGGCTATCGACGAACATGTCGAAAACAATTCATTTATAAACAAAATATTAATTAATTAGATAAAATTAAGCAATTCCAAACTGTTCTCGCATTAATTTCGAAGATATATATACATTGCTATTCCACATGTTTAATAGAAGAAACATAGCTTTCTACTGGTTGAATCTTAAAAGTAAAATTTTTCGCGCGTTCGTTGATATATATACATATATATTACATATGTATATATATACATATATACATATATATATATATATATATATATATATATAAAGAGAGAAAAAAGAAGTATTGATGCAATCAGAATTCAAGTTATTATTTATGTCTTTACTATATTTGTCTACTATAAAAAAAAGAAAACATGATCAAAAACTATTTCTAATCTTCTAATACATTATCTCTCTCTCTTTCTCTCTCTCTCTCTCTCTCGCTCTGTCTCTCTTTCTTTTTCTATCTATCTATCTCTATCTGTTCGATAATTCTTCTTTCTTTGTAACAAATCTCGATCATTATAAAGTATATTTCATGAAACAAATGAACGAAATTTACTCATGATATTTTTCCAATCTTTACATCGTCAATTTTAAACAGAATCGTTAAAAAAAAATAATTAACTTATAACAAAATAACTATCTATAAATTATCTTCTTATTCTTTTATGCTAATAAATAATAATTAATTAATACGAAACTCCATACAATTTATTGTTACGAAGAACTGACAATTAATGATTCGGTTACTTCGGTTACTTGTCGGTGTCTCTAACTAATGATACAATGTCACTGATTAATCGAAATTAGGAATGACTGTAAGAACGAATAGAAAAAAATGAAGGGATAATTTTTAACGTATAAAAATTGATTGAAATCATTGAAATAAAAAATGATTTCAAACGAATGAATTAGACTTCATAATAAATTTTTTTTTCACGTTGTCTTATCAAAAATGTTTGTAAAGAAAAAATGTGATTCTATGCACTATGCATGTATTATTATCAATAAGTTTCAAACATTTAAACGAATTAAAGTAACCTTGAAAAGAAAAATCGATGAATTTTCTTATGAAAATGTTTGAATTATTAAATTGTTTAAAAATATTTTTAAATAAATCAAGCAAATCAGAATAGGCGATTTATTGTTTAAATAAATTGATAAACGAATGCAATTTTTATTCGTATTTTTATCACGAAAAATGATCTCAGAGTACGGACCAAGAAAAACGGCGAAAACCGTAAAGTACTAATTTACCATCGAGCTTAAGAAATAGTAATATAAAGAAACCGATTTTGAATCATTTGATTATTAAGAAAAGCATGATGTTACTAAGAAAGAAAGAATATCATTGACCAATTTTAATGAATATCTTACTGTTCTTCTAAATATAAGCACAATTACAGATTGTTTGCATGCTATGAAGACTTTAATATTTTAAAATATGAAATTATAAACGAGAAATAATAAAAATTTAATTTTAATTTTCCACATCTTTCCCTCTCTTCGATTAAATTAAAAAAATATATATATCTAAATAATTAAATCGATGGGCTTCTAATTTTCTAATCAAAATCTCAAGCATTCCTTTATGAAATATAGTTTTAAAGTAATCGTTTAAACTTTTTATATTAGTAAATAAATTGCACCGATAACCAGAGGAATTATTTAAAATAAGATCTCCTGCGATAAAAATTCGTTCTACTATTATTTTTCATTTCACGTGATAAAGTAATTACTATACCTTAGATGTCGTTACTATAAAAGTATATAAATAATATATATATATATATATATATATATATATATATATATATATATGTATATGTTATAAGACCAATGTTGTATTAATTTCATACAATTTAACTATTTTATTTAGTACATAACTATTTAAATTGACATATTGTTACATATATTGTATTAATCCAAAATTAAGTTCTTCCATCGATAATCAAATAAGAGAGCTATATGGTAGCTAAACCAATATTGTACAATGTTTATTAACGAAATGTTAAGAGAAAGATAAAAATGATTTGAATATATCAATAAAGTCATTTTAAATGGATTATTGTAGCCATACTTTTTCACTTCATTGATTATCTATGTATCGCTTTAAAAACAATCCATAAAAATTATTTTTTATTGGCATTCTTATACATCTTCTAAAATTTCATAATTAAATAAACAAATTTATATTCTGATTACATAGAGATCACAGTGACAGTCTTACGATGAAATTGTAGTAACATTAGAGTTTGTATCGGAATTACATCCATTATCCGTCCCTTGAAACAAATATTTAAAATGTTGTACATATGGTTGACAATGTTCTCCTCTTGTGAAAGCTGTTGTATTACGTAACCTTAAATTACGCTGTTCAAAAAATTTGAAGACCGAATGAAAAAGGGTGGCATCATTGGAAACTTTTGCTGCTTCTAAAAATTTTCGAGCCGATACCTGATCTATCATTCCCACAGAACGAACGTATCTAAAACATATACAAATTAATATAATAATAATTTAGCAATAATTTAATTTTTCTTTACCGAAGAGCAGCTAAAATATGTCCTTTCGATAAAAGTACTTCAATTATTTCTTCATGTGCATTTCCTAATCGTTTTAACATATCCAATGCTAATTGATGAGCAGCTGGATATAAATTTTCTAAGGATAGCAATAAACAAGCTAAATGTTTCGAGTCAGCTACAACATGATATTGCAATAATTGATGTAGTTGATAATATGCTTTCCTATGTACCAATGTTGTGATAACTAACTCGTGTAAATAATGTTCCACAGGGATTCCATGTTCTGTTAAAGATCTAATAATTTCCATAATGCATTAAATATAACTCAAAATATAACAGTTGGTATGATTATTATTTATAATTCCATGTACACACCTGATATATTCTAGGAGGACCCATACTATCATTTTTGGTTCTATCGTATTTTCAGGAAATTTTGGCAAAATGATACTATACATATCACTTTGTTCAATTTTTAATTTATACTTGTAATTCTCTGTAGTAGTGCTACCATTTTTTGTATTGTTCTGAAGAGGTGTCCCGATCTAAACAAATATTGATAATACATTGTTCAATCAATGAAAATGAGAGCCTAACATTCATATAAAATTATAATTCATTTACCTGATTCTGTATTTCCTTTTCAAGATAATTTCTGTATACAGGATTAATTTTGTCAAAAATCGCTGGAATATCCATTAAACTTATTGGCAACTCAGTCATAAATTGCTGTAATACTTGTATCAAAATTTGTTTCGCATTAGATCGCTGCATAAGAAATTCTACTAATAAAACTTTGTCTTTAATAAGTTTAATTAACACTTCCAACCTCAGTTCTATGTACCTATACGATGTAAGTATATAAACATACAAAACATTAATTTGAAGTAAAATAAATAGCGATGTCTATAGAAACATACCATAAGCATCCTAACTTAACATCAATCACAATATTTGGTTGAAATACTACCCAATTAGGGGAATCTATACCATATTGAGAAAAACATATTTTTAATCTTTAAAACAATGAAATTATAAAGTAAAAGTTTGAAGGGATACATAGTTGACAAGGCTGTAACAACTCATCTGACAAAGTTGCACCTGGGACAACAAGATTGTATGGTTTAATAGACTTTGCTGATGCTACACTAGTATGATGTATCACAGTACCATCACTTACACCAGGCAACATTATATCAAAAATCATTGATGTCTATAAAAAATAATTGCACTAAGTGAATCAATACCAATACAATTATACATATAGAACATATACCTTCGATGCCTGATGATGAACAATAATAAGGTTGTCTACAACATTAATAGCAAATCGTCCACTGGCATCGAGCTTAAGAATATGACTTTTTTTAATCGTTAACATCCTACAAAATATTATCTACATAAATTATATGCTTTCATTTAGATTTAATTGCATAAAATATGCAATAAAAATCTTACTTATGAATAGTATATACATATACAAATGCAGTTCCAACAGAACGATTAGCTCCTGGTTGATGTCGCAAAACAATAATACAAGGTGTTCCATACAAAACAGCTAAAGCCACATCTCTCTCAGAAACAGCGAGCTTTCCTGGCTTGGTTGTACTAGGTTCCACTGAAATGGCATCCATACAGATCTACATATTCTATATTATGATAAATACACACAAGATCTCATTGTTTAACTTACTTTCAAATTTGGTAAATTTTTGAATGTTGCCAGGCGTTACATGTAATGCTTGCATTAAATTTCCTACTGTACCAGTAGACAACAAGATCAAATAACTTTTAGGACAAAATACAAACCAATTAATCATTAAATTAGAAGATTTCAGTGTTTTAGTAATACGTTTCTCTGGATTTACCTATAAGAAAACATTTATATCATATCATGAAATAATAGCACATCAGACTGATCTTACTTGAAACAATTCTACTCCCTGATCGGTAACAAATAATATTTCATTGCCATGTGTCCAAACGAAACCTAATATAGTGGCAGTCCTTCCTTTACAAGACTGAGAATACTCTATACCATCTGGTTCATGCGATGAAGAGAAATTCATAAACTCTACAGATGTGTTTGTACGCTGTATCGCAAGTATATTCATATCTGGAGAAAACTTTATAGAGATTACCGGACCTTTATCCTCCATTCTAAATATTATATTTTGATTAGGTCCCTTGACCAAAACACCAGTGACACCACCAGATCGAACAGCAAAGACCTCAATGAAAACACAAAGTGAGGTTATAAAATGAAAAAATTATTACAATTAACGCGATATTAAAAACTTACTTGCTGTTTATAGTCGTCGAAAAAAACATTGGTAAGACAACTAACGGATTCAAACTTAATAGGATCAGAAGATAATTCCAAATAATAATCATCGTTTCCTTCCTTCTCCTTCTCCATTTCAACAAATTATAAAATACTCAAAACTTGAGCTGTTATTCGCTGACGCCTCAATATTTTCTGTCGGAAGTTTTAAAACGCAGAGGTCGTCTCACACACTCTATGCATGTAGATAAACCTAATCGAATTATGACTCATTAATCAAACCAATAATTATACCGTACATGTACTCAATAACAGACCGTCATACAAACGAAACGATTCATATACACATTTTCAAATTCGACATTAAAATGGCGCGAAAATGTTCGAACCAATCGTGAATAAATATCGAAAGAAAATATTGCGTTGAAAGAAAAAAAAAAGAAAAAAGAGAGAAAAAAAAAAAGAAAAATATCTATTCGACAAAAAGAGAACGATTATTTCTTGAATGAAAATTACATTTGTTAACGTAATATATAATACGGTCTCGTGATCGATCGGAGTTCTGAGGAAGAGTATGAGGAGTGAGATGAGAAGAGTATGGGGAGAGAGACGAAAGAAAAGGAGTGGTGGGGAGAGAGAGTCAGTACGGCAAACGGAACGGCCCCAAACACGGGGAGGTGGCACGCTGGTTAGAGAAGGAACTAATGTGTGACGTCACCTTCCTCGTCCCTCGCGCTTCGTCGCAGCTCGTCTCGTTGTCGTCGATCGGCCGTCGGCGATGAGTTTAGTTTTGAAAACAAGAGGCTCGCCGGCACTCGGTCTTCGCGCTTGTCCTGTAAACGTAGGAATTTTGAGTCGTGCGACTAATAATTAGTCTAGAGAGAGAGAGAGAGAGAGAGAGAGAGAGAGAGAGAGAGACGGAAAGAGAGAGAAAGAGAGAGGAAAGACAGTGGTTACGTATCTCTTTCTTCGTATAGGAAGAGAGAGACAGAGAGGAGACGGACGCGTTGCGAGCCGGTATTCCCATCTACTCGCGTGTTCTCTCCATTTACATATTGTTTCTTTTTTATCCAACTTCCTCTTCCCTTTCTCCTTCTTCGTTCGATTTCCTTCGTATAATTTCTAATCTCCGATATTATAATAAAAAACAACGAAAATTGACTACGAAGATAAAAGAAGAAGAGGAAGAGAAAAAGAGAGAAAGAGAAAGAAAGAAAGAAAGAAAGAAAGAAAGAGAAATAAATAAAGATGGACCCTCTTCGCGAGCAAGTGATGATCAATCAATTCGTACTGGCTGCCGGTTGTGCCAGAGAACAAGCAAGGCAATTCTTACAAGCTACTCATTGGCAATTCGAGGTAAGCTCGTTTTTCTATTCTGAGACTTTTTACAATTATTTAATTGAATTTTTCCCTTTTTTCTATCTCTATCTTTCTCTCTCTCTCTCTCTCTTTCTCTCTCTCTCACTCTTTCTTTCTTTGTTTCTTTCATTCCTTCTTTTTTCTCTCTTTCTTTTTTTCTCTTTTTCTCTCGTTTTCTCTTTCGCCACTTCATACGCGTTCGATGCCACTTCGTGTACGTAAACAAAGCTGCGAAAATGGCCGACACGACGTCGTCGACGACGACGACGACGACGACGACGACGACGATGACGACAAATGGTGGCGACTTTACTTGCTTTCCTATATACATATAAATATATACAAATGTATAGATAGATATTCATATTTTTTTTTTGCTATGGAATATTATCGTACATAAGTACATGGGAACTCTTGCTTCATTATTATTATTATTATTATTGTTATTATCATCATCATCGTTTTCGTCTATAATTTTCTGTCTATCTTTCTGATTCTGTTTACTTATTTCTTTTCTTTTTCTTTCTATTTGGAAAACAAAAGTTGAGGATCATTACACGACTTTTTTTTTTTTATTTCACGTCATGAACGGCATTTATATACATACATACGTTCAATGCGTTGGAGTGCATTCATAAAAATCAGAGAGAAGAAAAATTACAATTATTTATATATATACTTATTTTTCTTTCTCTGTCAATTATATTACATAAATTGTTGCGTGTCGATTTATTTGTAATAACGAAGGAAAAAGAAAGTATTTGTTGATCACGAATTGAATTGATTGATGTTATCATCGTTGTTATATTTATTTGAATATTCTATTATTTCTATTATATTTATAAGTCGTTGCACTTTGTTAGAGAGAGAGAGAAACAAATATGTAGAGTTCTAATCACGAGTTAGAAAGCTCACGCGCGTGCACGTTGCGGCTTTGTTTACTCTGGAGAATGTTGTAAGAGTAGAATGACGTCGACTGTGGCGACTCTTCATCGAAAACGAACGAGAGAAAAAGAAAGAAAGACTGTCAGAGAGCGAGAGAGAGAGAGAGTGAGCGAATTGGTGGGAGTGGGAAGGAGGCATCGATCGGTCCGTTGATTCTTATGTGAGAAGGGAAGAGAGAGTGAGAGAGAGAGAGAAAAAATATTTTGTCATCTTTTCAAATGGAACGACCTTCAATCGATTGTTATTTAAATAATTTTCTTAACAATTTTTCCATATTCTCACAATGCAACAGGATTATGAAAGAGAACAAGATATTTATTTATACATCTTTTATGTGATTAATTAAAATAATTCAATTTTTTTTTCCCTCAATGAAAATAATATTATTTCTATTTATTGGGAAGAAAAAAAAACAATTCTTATCGTAGGATACTACATGGAGAGATGTATATAGAAATTTTTATTAATATTTCATTGCTTTCAGAATAGCAATCGTTTTATTATAGAAATAATTCAATAATAAAAATTAATTAAGTGTGTTTGTGTGTGTGTTTGTTTGTATACGGCAACAATGACGAACCCTTGATCCATGGGTTACTATGACCTGCAAGAGAAGTGAGACTTAAAATCTTTGAAAACACAAAAAAACTTGAAATTATTTATTTATAGAAATGAAATATATATACATATATATTTAATTTCTAATAGTATCTTAAAATGTGTCTAGGGAAATTTAATTATCTGCTTCTGTAGCATTGTTTAAACATCTGATATAGAAAACTTGATATAGAAAAATTTCTATCTCGAATTTTACATCAGTTTTGAATAAAATTACACTACATAATTTTAATTTTGCTTTCTTTTTTTTTCTACTACAAGATGACTAAACATTTAAATATAGAATGATTTTTTTTAAATTACTCGGTTCAAATATTTAATCCACGACTGGTGAGTGGAAAATTTTGTTGTTTGATTTTAAGTCACCGGCCAAAAAAGATTTGGCGTCATTGATACAGAATATGTCAGTTTGTACGTAAATATGATTTTTTTGAGATTTAGAAATAAAGAAGAAACAAACTAAGGATATATCATATATACATATGTGAATACTGATTCCGTAATATTTTCACTTTGACAATCGGTCATATATTTCGAACGTTATGTCACGTGATGAGGAAGTAAAAGAGAGAGAGAGAAAAAAAATATCTCCGTATCTTCTGCTTATCTTAATCAACTAAATGATTAAATCTATATTATTATTTCTAATCATTATTTTGCTTAGAATAGAATTATTTATTTCTTTGATATCATTTATTTAAATGTACATATTTATTAGTATTAATTATATTTTGTTTTACAAAGATATTCGTATATACATATATATCACGTGACTAATTGAAGTTAAAAAAGAAGTTTAATAAGAGAAATTTGCATGGTTTATAGTCAGCTATAAAGTGCATGTAAATATTTTTTTCTTTTTCTTCTTTTTTTCTTTTTTATCCGTAATCTTGAGATATGAATATCAGGTTTTTATATATTCATGTGGTAACGATCATTTGTAATAAAAATAGTAATAAAATAAAATCGTCTAGTAAAAAATTACTACTATATATCATTTACGAGATCTAAGTATTAAAGTAGTTGGTTTTTTAAACTACAATATAAAAAAACGATCGTCAGACAACATAACATTTTGAAGTCGATTACATGTTCAATAGGATCACTAACCTTCAACTCATTAAAATATTACACACCTGCTTGATTTGTAAATAATATATTTGGATATCAATTATTACAGTACAATATGAATCTGTTAATCGTTAAAATACCAATTATCTCATATTAAACGACATATAATGGGAATTTTTTTATTAAATGATCTTGATTGCAAATAATCGCTGTTCAACAAAAAATAAATAAATAAATAACATTATATCGAGCTGTATAACACGAAAAGATTAAACAAAAATTTGTGTACGTGCATTTTGTAACTAATTGGGCCGTGCAGATTTCACTTATTAAACTTTCTTGTAGCTTTAACTAATTGTGAAATATTTACTCGGACCTCTATAAATGAGGATACCCTGTAAGAATAAAATTGCAATAATAAAATCATTATTAATATTAATTATTAAATTATTAATTAAATTATAAATTTTACACGGACAAATGTATATATATACACACACACATACACACGGTTGGTCTGAAAAGTTTCCGACTTAACAAAGATACAAGACATTTTTTCTTCAAATTTATTTTTATTTTTCCACATAGTCTCTTTGTAAGTCTACACACTTCTCCCAGCTATGCTCCCATCTCTTTAATCCGTTCAAATAGTATTCGGCGTCTTTCTCAGAAAAATAATTGTTTACGAAAGTGACTTGACGAAAATCTCTGTCCTTCGAGCGCAACTTTTAGCTTAGCGAATAAAAAAAAGTCGCGTGATCAAGCAGTCCAAACCGTAATTCGTGGATTTTCACCATGGCAAACGCTGAGGTGTGAGACATTGTCTTGGTGAAACAAAATTTTCTTTTTCTGCAAATGTGGCCATTTTTCCGCAATTTCTGTCTTCAGTTTGTCAAGTAATGATGCGTAGTATGTTCCTGTAATGATTTTATCTTTTTGAAAATAATCGACTAAGATAACTCCATGACCATTTCAAGAAACAGTCGCCATCATTTTCCCAGTCAAAAAAACAGTGTTTGCTTCTTTTGGAGCCACTGTTTTGACTATATTTTTGTTTCTGGGATATAATGGTGTAACCATGTTTCATCTACAGTAATTAATCGGCGCCAAAACTCTGATTTATTGCACTTAAACTGCGTCAATAGAGCGTTGGAAATGTTCATTTGAACACGTTTTTGGTGTAATATGAGCAAACCCGGCACATAATATGCGGACAGCTTTCTCATATCTAAATCTTAATTTAATATGTGACAAACACGTTCTTTGGGCATATTCATAGATTCTTCTATCTCGCTTTAATTTGACGGTTGTCTAGCATCATTTGATGAACTTGAGCGATGTTATCATCAGTGATTGCAATTTTTGGACGTTCATCGTCTCCCAAGCTAATACGGTCACATTTAAATTCAGCTGCTCAAAATTTCAGAGTGGTAAATGATGGTGCAGAGTCCCTGCTACAGCGTCCAACTCGTCTTTAATTCGTCAGGCGTATTGCTTTTCAAAAACAAATATTTAATAACAGCTTGATACTCGATTTTTTCTATTTTCACAAAAACACATCGATTCACTCAAACGATTGTCAAACAACAACTGCGCATTCAAAATGGCTGAAATTCTGATGAGTACCTTTCAAAAAATGCGCAAACACATTCCCTATAGCTTTTGTTGACGAGTGCTTTGATCTTCATGTTGAGTTCGGAAACTTTTTAGACCAACCTTGTATATATATCGCATATATATGTAATTATATATAAAAATATATATATATATATACACATACACACAGGTGTGTATGTATGTAGGCATATACATATATGTATGCGCGCGCGCGTGTGTATATGTGTGGTGTAGTGTGAATATGTATTTGTAATAGTTGGATGACAATAATATCACGCGCGTGATAAGACGCTTAAATTAACAATAGTAGTCATTCTTTCTCTCGTCACATCTGTGTTATTTTATCTACAAAGAAGATACTTAGACTCTTATCCATATTGTTACGTGTAATTATCATCTTCTTATCAAATAGTTATTAATTGAATAAGAATTGAAATTAGCTGTTAGACGTTTCATGTTAAAAAATGACGGAACTATATATTCATCTTTTTTCAGTCCATCATAGAATATTGGCAGAAGAAAACGAAAGAGAATAAAAAAGAAATAAACAAAAAGGGAATTTATCTTATGAGCTATTTCTTCTGTAATAAATTATTTATTGTATATTTTATCATTACGTCATAGAAAAAGAAAGATCGTTTGTGTTGCGTTTGAATTGTGTGAGTCATCGAAAGCGATGACCTAATTTTTTCAATTATTCTAGTCAGACTAACGATGATATATAATGATTATTTTTTTCCAAACCTGAATTTAATAATTACGAAAATGTAAACGTAAAAGGAAAAGTTTAATTTGTTTTTCTTTCTTTCGATAAGAGAAGAATGTTTATGAATTTTTAAGATAATATATATATATATATTGAAAAATAGGTTTATTGTCCAGAGTATGAATTACGTAATCTGTTATAAATTGATATATTTGTATTATCGATAAATAAGCAATTTAATTCGTATGTAATAGAAAGTTTTTGAATAAAAATTAAAAAAATATATTTTGATGATAAAAATTCATAAAAAATTAATCAAAAGAAAATAATACAAATTTTGTCTGATTTTTCTTACATTTTTGAATTATTATTATTATTATTATTATTATTATTATTATTATTATTATTATTATTATTATTAGTATTATTATTATTTATTGTAGATAATAATGAAAATGTCAATAAACGTGATCAACTACAAGGCAAAAGCTTACTTAATTTAATTAACTTGTCTACGCTGTGAAATCTTAGATAGGGAGATTAGATCTTATGCGTGTTTTGTTCTGTTTACAGAAGATTACTTCATTTAGATAATAAGCCTATTATATCGCTTATAACGGAAATTGTTAAGAATATAAATATTATATATAAATTTCCAATATAAAAATTAATAAAGGAAATATATATATATATACATACATATATAATAAGAATATAGCACAATATACATATAACCACATTACATAATGTATATACATATGTGAATATAATTATTTTTGTTTATTTTTTCTTTATTTATTTCTTTATTTTAATGGAACGTTTAATAAGCAATTTTTCGGATATTTAAACAAAAATTAGTAATTAATAAATTAGGATATTGTGAAATCAATCAAATCAATTTCTAAATTTTTTTATCATCTTAATTACTAACAATGGTGATATGTAATTTAATTATTCATAATAAAAAAACGAATAAGCTGAGAGAGAGAGAGAGAGAGAGAGAGAGAGAGAGAGAGAGAGAGAGAGAGAGAGAGAGAGAGAGAGAGAGAGAGAGAGAGCTTGTGCGTATGCTTATAAGTGCATGTTCGTTGAATTTGGCTCGGGAACTTTCTCCAGTTACTCACTAATACGTTTAACTATTGATTACAACACACATGTCTAGTGGATCCCATAGGTGAATTGGTACAGTTCGTCTTACATTTTATAGCATCTTTTTTGTTCTTGTTCGATTAAAATATTAGTTTCTTTAACAATATTATATCCTTAATTTATTATATCCTAAATAATACAATATTATATTAATATTTATCAAATATATTATTCTATTAGAAATATTAGAATTAAAATGTTACATATACAGATATAATATCGATAATACTTATACTATATTTAATATAACATAATAATAGTAATAAAAAAGTAAATAAATAATTTACAATTTGCTTAAATTTATTCTTATTAATTTGCTTAATATTTACAGAAATTCTATATATAAATTCTTCTAAAAATCTGGTTACAAAATTTTAATATTTAAAGTGAATAATACATTTTATTTCTATTAATAAATTTAAAAATATTTTAATAGTTGTTTTAAAAAAGACAATAATAATAACAATAATAAGAACTAAATGTATACATATTTAAAAAATTTCAAAGGAAACACAAAACATATTAAGCTAAATAATAATCTTTAGAAGAAAATCTTCTCATGTCAGACATTTATCATTCGTATTTGAGATGATCTAAAAAGTTAGTTTCTCACGATTACTTCGTAGTAGTTGAACATCTGGTATTGAGGTCCAAGCTGAGAATTTACTTTTCTCGTCGAGATCATTTCAACGAAATCATCTCGTTAATAACCAATCTTCCTCATTGATATTAATAATCTAACATGACAATATATAATAATAATAATAATAATAATAATAATAATAATAATAATAATAATAGTCTAATAATAAAAACAAGGAATCTTATTTCTATCTTCGTTGCAGATCACGGTGAAAATAACCAGTCACGTTCTTCAAGAGTAACCAAGTTATTTATTACCATTTGCCTTTGAGTTATGTAACACGAGTGTTCATAACGAGTTAAAGTTCAATGTAGCCCTCGTATACATTATTCGTATACATTTTATTTATTCTATTTGTGGGTCGCGCTATGTTTTTTGTCTAATTAACTATTTTAATACGATTATTTTATGATAATTTAAACACATCGGACACTTTTCTTCTATTTGCTCGTTTGAAATTTAATTAGAGAAAAGAAAAATAAATAAAAAAATTGGTATAATTAAAATTAAAAAAAAAAGAATATATATATTATTTGTATATTAGATTAAATTTAAATTATTATAATGATTATACATATACACACTTATGATAGTAGTGAAATATTTAGTACTTGGTGGAAGTATAATATTAAATTGTTTATTTATTACTATCATTATTACTATTATTATTATTATTAGTATTATTGTTGTTATTATTGTTATTATTGTTATTATTGTTATTATTGTTATTATTGTTATTGCTATCGTTATCGTTATCGTTATCGTTATCGTTATCGTTATCGTTATCGTTATCGTTATTATGGTACGAGTATCTTATAGTTTATCGATCGATTAGACGTGCTAAAGTATAATCAAAGTGGTCTTTTTATTATTGGTATTATAACGTATATCGAGCGTGTTGCACGCACATGCTTTTTTTTTTTTTTAAAGAGCCACGTATCTGCAGTATCTGTATATACGTATGTATATATTTATCTGTGTATTAGAAATATTCTTGGTGAAATTAGAACGAGAAAGAGGAAGGAAGGGGAGATGGTGATGGTGATTGGGGGGGACGTTTGGTATAACATAAGACATAAAGTTTTGCCAAGTACATAAACGCGAATCAGTGAATCGACGAACTTTGGCACGTCTTTAAATAATTCTTCCACGAGTTTTACTCGATTTCTCGTAAACTAAGAATTTATTTGAAAAAGAACTTTGAAATCGGCTTCCATGTTTGATCGTTTATGTCCGAAAGACACGCAACTTATCAACTCCATTGCAGTTGCATTGCAGTCGCATTGAGTAATATATGTATATATAATGATTTTATATCGAAATTAAAAAAATTAAAGGAGAAAAACAAAAAATATTATGAATCGAAAATTAATTAGAAATGAACGAATTCGAAGAATACTAAACTTTAAGATAGTATTTAAAATACAGATTTCGTCTAATCCTATTATTTATTTAATCATTAAGTTTATTATTATTATTATTTATATTTAATTATAATTATTATTATTATTATTATTATTATTATTATTATTATTATTATTATTATTACTATTATAGTCGTTTAAATATTTCATCAGTTGGTGTCTTCTTAATAGATGGGTTATTGCTAAATCTAATCTAAATGTAATCAGATATTGCTATTGTATGTATATTATTGATTTAAGAATTTCTATACTGTTGTACATATAAAGAAATTAGTATTATCTTCTGAATTCTGATATGTATATTGTGTTGTAAATCTGATATTGTTGTTGTTATTATTATTATAAGTATTATAATTATTATTATTATTGTTATTATTATTTGCGTTTGCTTTCAGATGGCACTCAGTCTCTTCTTCCAAGAAGTAGCAATACCTTCTTGTGCTCAGCCTGGTACTCCTTTTGGTCAAGTAAGTTGACACATTTTTCATCTTATTTATTTATTTTTTATTTTTATTATTTTTTTATAATACAATTATTTTGTTTATGAACATTACTAATCTTATTCTCTAACTAATCACTGTTTTATTATTGTTTCTCTTTCTAATAAGCTTAACCCGATCGATTTCATCAAAATAATTATAATAATTAATTACCAATGTCTTCATTTTTCTTTCATTAATGAAAGAAAGAAAGTTGTATTTTAAATGAAATATAATGTATATGTTAAAAATAATCAAAAATTTTCTAGTATTAGAACACTCATACGCGTGTTGTATGTTTATATGTATGTCTATGTATATGTCTTATACGTTGTATATATGTGTTATAAGAGTAGGAGAAAATCGATTTGAACGCGTGCTTGACCTTCACGCGGTTCCATTTGCTCGTTTTATCGCGTGTTTATATGTACATAAGTATATGCGTGTATATCTATGTATACACATACAAAACACATGTATATATATTTACTTTTCACTCTATGACTCTTACTTAATAATTTATTTCAATGTAAAAATCCTTTTAAAAATTCATGGTTACATGTTTAATAACATAATATTTAATGTATGAATAGTATTTAATAAAAAGAAAGAGAAGAAAAAAATTACTATTAATTCATTAATAAATTAGAGCGAAAATGAATATAATCGATTAATCGAAATTCGAAGGTAAAAAAGGTATTATTAAAAATAAAAATAAAGTATAATTATAAACAAAGCTTCGTTCATTGTTTGATTAACAAACAGACAAACATACACAAACATATTTATGTATTATAACATATACATAGAGAGGAATAGAGTCGAAAGATCGAAATGGAATTAATTTAGATAATCGATACTCGTGATTTCGATCCAACCTAAGAACACTTCTCATGCTATCTCGTCTTTTTGAGAAAATATTATACGAGTCGTCTTTATAATTTTCTTTTTATATTTTTTATCTTTTTCTTTACCTTTCGTTTCTTTTGAACAGAGCGGGAAAAAGAATTTTTTATTCTTGGCGATTCCGTCGTCGTTCGTCTTGCATATCGATGCTCTGCTACCCAGCATCCCTATGAATTATTTATCATCGGCATCACCGATCTACACTCTCCCATCACTAAAGAAGCAACTTTATGTCTGGGAAAGAATAAAAAAAAAAAAGCGAAATCGAAAGACTCGTGACGGGAAGTGTCTCGATATCAATGTACAAATCGACTCTTTTCTCTTACGAAATATTCATCAATAAAAATGAATAGAAAAAATAAAGATATAAAAAAGATTCACTCATAGAAAAAGTGGAATATTTATATAAGAATTTTAAATATTGTTCCTTCTTCCTTGATCTCATTCTATAAAGTCTATATGGATCCTTAGCAACGATAAAAAAGGAAGAGCAAAATTAATTTTTGTTCTTAGATTTTTTTCTTTTTTCTATCCCCTCTTTTTCTTTTTTTCTTTTTTCTTTTTTTCTTTTTAGCATATTAAATTTTTTATATAGATACTAATGACACGATAAATATTATATGTAAGATTAGTTTCATAATATTTACAGAAAATATACTTTTTCACTGTATTTTTATCGTATTTTTATTATTATTTTTTTTATTATACATTTAAAACATACACATGCGCGCACACACAATAATGACACAAATGAAATATTTATATAATGCAAGACTGATTTAATATTATATTATTAAAAATATATAGATACAAATTTTTTTCATTTGTTAATTTTTTTTTTTTCTTTTTTTTTTTTTTTTTTTTTTTTTTTTAAGTGAGATTTACTGTTAGATTTATAATCAGGATAAAAATAGAGATTATCCGGAACTACTTCGTAAAAAGGAGGGGAAGTTCGTTTAGTCACTCGTACTTCCCATTTCGAGACGAGCGGGTGAGAGAACCGGACACAGCTTTCAAGTGTCGAGATTATTTCCGACACACATTCGCTTATTTCTCTCTCTCTCTCTCTCTCTCTCTCTCTCTCTCTCTCTCTCTCTCTCTCTCTCTCTCTCTCTCTCTCTCTCAATTATCCCTCCACATATCTGTGTTCTTAAGGCCACGTCATAACCACGAACTGATAAATAATACTAGTTGATATAAAGCCAATTAAGTTTCGATGAAAATATATATTGAAGAGTACAGCAAAAATAATTTTATTTAATTATAATTATATACATATTATAGCCTAATGTTCAATAATTTAATCCTAATTTAATGTCTAATTAAATCCTAACTTTATGTCTGATTAAATCATAATATAATTTGATTTAAAATTTTAATTGATTTAGATTTTTAAATTATTAGAATTTTAATTAGAATAAATTTAATTTATTGTTAAGATCGAGTTCGATATTTTAAAAAATTCTGTATATACATACATATATATATAACTTTCATTTATTGATATTTATGATGTATGTATGTGCGTTGTGCTGCATCTTTTCACACATATATTTCACACATAGAGATACACAAATACATAAAAATACATATGAATAGATTCTCTCGGGCGCAAGCGTAAATGTTAAAACCTGTGTCTCGTGTGAATTCATGACTATTTCATTGGATGGATTCGTGGAGGCACGTGCGTGCTCTCGTCATATTGCTCTATTCATACTACCATTAGTAACAGAGAGCAATTCAAATTTTGGTATGATCTACAACGTGTCGTCTCTTATACAAAATTACTTATAAATAAACACATTACGATCTAATACACACACACAAATACATTAAAATTTATTAATTCGGACATGTTACATTTTTATGCAATTACGATAAAGGAATTAATGTAAAAATGTTGTTTCTGTCTTTTAAAATTTTGATTATTTAATTATCTATTTTATACCAAATTGAAAAGAAAAAAATTTTCATTTTTATCTTATCAATATTAAATTTAAATTAAAAATGTCACATTTTTAATGATGAGTCTAATGTTAAAAAGTTAAATAAATATTCCAATTTTGTATTTGTTAAATTCTTACTCTCTATAAGGATTGTTTATAAGCAATATATAGAAATATTATAATAATCTATTTTTTATAATATTTATAGAAAACAAAATATTTCAATAAAATATATTGATATTTTTCATAAAATTTAAATAATATTTTTAATAAGATCATATATTATTATTTTTAATAAAATGTTCAAATAATACATTTTTTTATATAAATTATAAATAAGAATTAGAAATAATATTCATAATAAGATAAATAAAAAATAAATGATAATAAAGATAATAGAAAATAAAGATTTATAAAAAAAATCAGTTTTCTTTATAATCTAATCATAGAACAAAAAGTATCTCTGTTTTTGCGAAGCCAGATTACTTGTTGATTACTTGTTTATCAACAACTAGAACGAAGGATCATTTCATTTGAACAAAATGTCGATCAATAATAAATCGATCACAGAGAGAGAGAGAGAGAGAGAGAGAGAGAGAGAGAGAGAGAGAGAGAGAGAGAGAGAGAGAGAGCTTAGGCAGTGTTCTTTTTCATTGGATTGCGTTAAGATCAGAGGCCGGTTGATCGTTAGGATCAAAGTCATATTGCCACGTTAGGAAACATTTCCCAACGTGGACTCTCTAGGAAAGATATACACAGCTAAGCAAAGCATGATGTCGTGAAACACAATCGTGAGAAAACGAAAATGTCCGTCTAATTTATTCGTTTGAAACTACGTTGTTAGCAAGCTTCATTTGCAGTGAACAAGTATATACGTATATATGTAGTGTATATCATACTGATGTGTTATTGTCTTCTTCTGTTCATTGCTCGACAAACTCAGTATACTTCTGCGTATGTGAAGTTCCATAAATGAACGTATCTTTAACTTGTAATTAAAAAAAAATTAATTAATAATGAAAACAAAATTATTATAATATTATTATATATATATTTTCTTTTACGATATTTTTATGTACAAGAAAATTTTATATGCATAAAAATAAAAAGTAAATATGAATAAAAAAATATATATACATATAAATATAATATAATATAATATAATATAATATAATATAATATAATATAATATAATATATTTGTATAATATAATATGAAACGTCTTTCACATAATAAGTATTTAGTACATTGTTATTAAGGATATGAAAGTTTTACATATATTATTATAATAATAATAATAAATAAATAAATAAATAAAAGTGATGATAATAATAATAATAATAAATAAATAAAAATGATGATAATAATAATAGTAATAATAATAATAATAATAATAAATAAAAGTGATGATAATAATAATAATAATAATAATAATAATAATAATAATAATAATAATAATAATAATAATAATAATAATAAATAAAAGTGATGATAATAATAATAATAATAATAATAATAATAATAATAATAATAAATAAATAAAAGTGATAATAGTGATAATGTTAAAATAATAAATATAAGTAAATAAATTAGTAAATTCTTATATTCTCCTTTGCACCTATTCAATGTTTTTAATTTCTAATCGATATATTTATTTTCTTCGAGCTAAAAAAATTATAGGCGAGGTAACCCAGAGGTATATAAAGCATTGAATTTATTAGACATCGTAAACGTTGGAATATAACTACTTCGAAGAACGGGTAAAGGAAAAAAAAAATTTAAATTAATGTGTACTCGTACGTCTATATACGAGTTAGCAAAGGAGCAAATAAATGTTCTTGAACAAAGGAAAATATGGTTAAACTATATGTATATTTTTAAAAAAACATTGGATATATACTTTGTATAGTGTACGAATATTTTTTGATCATCGAAATTAAATGTTGTTTTTATTATAAATGTTTTTATTATAAATTTGTTTTATTATTAATTACCGAGAAAAATGTATAAATTAAATAAATAAATGTTATGGTTTCAGCTATTATAAGTGTGTTAACTGATTAAAAAACAACGAATTGATTAATTACATAAATAACAGGGACATACAGTAATAACTTTACAGGTACTGTTATGTACGAATATTAATATAGATTATTGTATATTTTGAACTTATCTATTCATTTCTATTTGATCAGTATTTTTATTAATTAATGATAAGTATTTTGTAAAATAAATGATCATTATGAAGTTTTTTCAGTATTTATAATAAAATCAAATCAGTAAGTAATATAACTGGTGAATATAAATAATTCAATTTCATAAGTTATTATTATATTTATAAATATTTTGATTAAAACTCTAACAGTTTTTGTATTAATCGTATTTTTGTAATACTATTAATACAAAATATTATAATATTTTAATACAATTACATTATATACTGATACTTTATTATAAATATTAATTATTTATTTAATATATTGATCTAAACTATTTAAAAATACTAATCCAATAAATCAGCAGCCTATTTGATTCGGTTTATCAATTCAACAAAGCTTTTATCACTTTGACTCTACATTCGTCCATTCTCTTCTTCTCCTTCTTCGATTAGAACAATAATAACGTTCAGTAATATTTATATTTTTTCCTATTACTCGTTTCTAATAGAAAGCTCTATGTAGTTGGAGAAAATCTAACCTTATACGTTTATCGCTCAAGAGTATGCTATCGAAATCCAAAGGACTTTAAAAGCTGTTCCACGTTCGAGTTCGAACCATCGAACAAATTGAATTATTTAATTTATTATTTCTTGATGATTATGAAGAAGATAAAAAAAAAACAAAAAAGATAAAAACTTAGGATAAAAATCGTTACTGTGTATATGATAATAAAAGACGACATATTTTTTTACATATTAGAGATAAGACTTTTCACGTAACCTTGTTAGTTTTTAATCGATATTGATATCGATATTGATTATCGATATTGACACGAATTTTGTGAGTTCGAAAATCATTTAATTTATTTATTTATCATTAACAAGATTATGAAACTTTAAAATACGCGAAAATAAAAATAAAAATGCGAGAAATTCAAATAGGCGAGAATGCGATGGATGGTTGAGAGGGGGAGAGAGAAGTTAAAGAAAAAGAGAAGAACCACTGTCGACGGATAGTTACTATGTGTATGTGTTACTATTCTCGGTCCGTGGCATTCCGATAAGCTGTGTGCCAAATCTCGGTCCAAGACTGGACGAGAACGACACACGTTTAGATTAGTGTGAAGATGCAGGTCCTAACAATATCCTTTAATTTTGTTTCTTCAAAACTCGACTTTGTTTTATTGTACGAAAAGCATTTGTGGAAATTTTCATTTCGATATCAAAATTTTGAATGTCTTCTTGATTCTAATTTCCCACAATTTCTTTCTTTCTTTTTTTTTTTTTTTCAAAATTATTACTATTTTTAGTAACAGTTTCAATTTGTCCATTATTAATTCATTCGATATAAATATGAAAAAATTTGAAATAAATAGGAAATAAGAAATGGAAGAGGATCGGGTTGAGAACCACTGACAGAAAAGGATTATTTTGTATCTATTAATTCATTAACATATCCGATAAACATTCCCAATAAAATAAATACAAAATAAGAGATGGAATAATATATTTATCGATATGGTTGAGAATCACTGATACAAAGTATCTCGTTACACATTAGCAAGATCGATAGAAGGCCGCGTTTGTTTTACCACCGAAGTTGTTTTATCATTCGTACGTTGTGTCGTTAACTAGTTCACAAGGTTTTACTAGAGAATCTACGAACGAACCGAACGTGCGCACCTTCCGTATTGTTTTTATTCCTATATATACCAGTATGTGTGTTTTTGTTTGTGTTCGTTCACCTGATTCTTGACGTCACGTTCTGGATCCGGTGTGTATATGTCGACGACCTTTAACTAGCAATACCCCAACGATCGCGTTTTGTTCGTTTAAAAAATCCCGCTAATGTGGCCAGTCTCTCTCTCTCTCTCTCTCTCTCTCTCTCTCTCTCTCTCTCTCTCATTCTCTCTCTCTCTCTCATTCGTACGACACCCATCCATGGACAACTTCACTGTCTGATGCAATAAATCTTTCCTCATCTCAGGCACATATAGTTTGATTAAAGAAAACTGAATGTTTGTATTTCCTTTCTGTTTCAAACAATATTTGATAATAAAGGTTATCGTTGTAAAATAATTTTAATTGCATTCCAAATGGATCCAATCATGGTTAGAAGAAAAAATGACTGATAACTTTAAGACCTTCGTATCGTCTATGAGTTTTTAGTTAATTTTTATGATACATTTGAAATATACATGTATGTATATATGCACTGATTTATTGTATTATTAGGTTGCGTTCAAAAATCGCGCAAACTTTAAAGTCTTCATTTTGTCTAACCATAAATTTAACCATGCATGACGAATTATTTATGAAGAAAATTTATTATTTTTTGTTGCAGATCACACCATGCAATACACCAGCAACGCCACCGAATTTTCCAGAGGCGTTGGCTGCATTTTCCAAAATGTCGGCTGGTGAAAAAACTCCCACAGGTAATAAAATAAAAATTAAAAGAATAATAAAATAAATAAATAAATCTTACGAAGAAAGATTTTTGCAAAGGATTGATGGAAGTTTCAAAACGCGTTTCTCTATGATTTATAATAATAATAATAATATTATTATTATAATTATAATAATAATTATTATTATTATTATTATTATTATTATTATTATTATTATTATTATTATTATTATTATTTGATTAGATTTACGTTTAGCAAAGAAAAAATACTTCTTTAACTTCCAATAAATTTCATAACACAAAATGATATTGTTTTGTAACGTTGCGTTTAAAATTGCGTCATTGTATAGTAAAGCTTTTCTACTTCATATTCAATTTTTTAAAAAAACTTGATTTACAAAGATTGACTTTTAAATGCAATTTTATAATTCTATATTTTAATATGCCATGAATTGCTCGAGGCATTTATAAAAACATCGATTGATCAAACATAGAATATATTCGACCTCAATTAATATTTGAATTTTACCAATATATATAAATTACCATCGCGTATGTGTATATGTCTATCTCGCAACTTTGTTAATATTCTTTTTCAATTAAATAATATTTAACCTTTAAAAAAGAATGTATACTTTCTTTCCTTTTTTCCAAATAAAAAAAAAAAGAAAATAACGAACAATCAATCATATGGAAATATATATATACATATATATATGTCATTTCTCTTCGCAGATAAATGTATGAACAAATAAGAAAGGAACATAGCAACGTGTATAATATAACGTTTTGGAACGATCGAGTCTCAAGTCTCGTAACGTTGGCAGCAAGCCCGAAACATTCCCCGCCGAGCGTGTATACACGGGGGTTGCATACATTAAACTCGTAGTTGCCTCTCTCTTTCTTTCTTGCTCCAATCCCTCCCTCATATCTGTCTCTCTGTCTCCTTTCAGGCATGTCTCCGAGCCAAAACGGGTTGCAACAAAGTTCAACGGCGACAGTGGCGCAGCACCACGGGGTCCGGTGTAGCATCTCCGGCAATGCACAACAGCAAGTTGTACCGAGCCAACAACAATTTGGCTTGGGTGAATTACAGAGATAAGGAAAAAAGAAGATGCGAGCCGATAGGAGGATGCGTCTTATCAAACGTTTGTACGAAGATGTAGAAAAGAAAAGAAAGAAAAAGATGATGATAATAATAACGATGATGATGATGATGATGATGATGATGATGATGATGATGATGATGATGATGATGATGATGATGATGATAATGAAAAAGAAAAAAAAAATTACGATGATGATGACAGTGATCGTAAGAGATGGTAGAAAAAACTCGATCCTCGATATGGTGTTTCACAAAGCAAGAAAAAAACAAACAAAATAAAAAAAAAATATTGCTTGGTTCTCCTATGGCTAATAACATACACTGGCGACTACGACACAGTGTAGTAGCCTCTCATGTGATTTTCCCTCTAACGGAAAATGCACGACTAACGACGACGATGTACGAGCGAATTCGAACAAAGCCGAGCAAAGCCGAACGAAACCGAACAAGAATCACATTGGCGTTTCTATTGCTCGGACTCGTTCGAATTTCATTTCTTTGTATTTGTTTTCTCTTTTTCTCTCTCTCTCTCTCTCTTTTTCTCTCTCTCTCTCTCTCTCTCTCTCTCTCTCTCTCTTTATTATAGTCTTATAAAACTATTTTACTCTCTCTTTTGTCGAACGTCTTATCGTGTTGTGTCTCACAAAAAAGTTGCAGTCGTTTTCTACTTGTTTTTATTCCCCTTACTCTTCATTGATTTTGTTTTCTTTTTTTCTTCTTTTTAAAAGGAACGATAATGTTCCTACAACTATGAAAGACAGAAATACCCTTTAGCGTTTATCGAGAACAATAGTACGTAATCTACAGAGAGTTCGTGTAGTGTGTGATTTGATGTAAAAAAGACAGGAGTAGTTTGTCGAAGCCAAGATTGAAAAAAAAAGGGGGTAAAAAAAGTCACAAAATGGCTTCGTAAAGTACTCGCTGTTCTGTTTCACTTCGTTTATTTCATGTTTGATTAAGAATATGTCAAAACGGTAGGCTTGTATAAATACGTACGCGTTCGTTGTCACTGGGGAGCTTTCCAGCGATTACATGGAAGGCTGTGAAAACAAAATAAAAACTACGAAAGATGGAGGTTCCTCGTCTCCACGTGACGCGAATACGAAAAAATTAATTCGAGAAAGCGACAACAATTCTCGACTTTCTTTTATCATGAGTTTGAGAATCAGCTGAAATTTGAGATAGGGCTGTTCGTTAAATTCAAATTACGCGCCGTCTAACTCGCCTGATAAAGAGTGCCACCATCGTAGTAGAAACCTGTCAATTTTTATTTCAATATGAACTTTATTTAAAGAACAACGTCACGCGATTGTAAAATTGTAAAGATCGCTCTTCTTTTTTTTAAAGAAAACCAATACTCTATTTATTTATTTATTTATTTCTTTTTTGACAAAATCATCCAGTAATATTGAAAATGTACCGATTGAGTAAAATCACTTGTTTTGGGTCCACAAAATGAAAGTGCTTAAGTACAGTCCTTTTTCAGTTTACTAAGAGTAAAATACAAAAAAAAATATAAAACAATCACAAAAATACAAAAAAAAAATCAAATATGAATATTACAGAGATTATGTTATTGCCTATCGTATGCATGGAATAATTCCAATCTCTCTCTCTTTCTCTCTCTCTCTCTCTCTCTCTCTCTCTCTCTCTTTCTCTTTCTCTCTGTTGTGAACAACTGATAACGATCCTTACCTAATCAGTATCTAGCAGAAATACAAAAAATTATTTTCTTTTATTTTTTTCTATTCTTTCGATATAAAACAAATCTCAATGAGAGATATCAATCAATCAATCAATTGAACATTTGAATTCGTTCAGCATTGAAATCCCAGCTTCTAATTCTATTACGGCAAATAAATAAATAAATTATTATTATCGTTAGTTATAGCGACATGAGTTTAGTTTTATTAAATTCCGTCGAATATTAATAACGAAAGTAAAAATTCCTTGTTAATAACAATCGCCGTAGGCAAGAAAATTAAACAAATTGAATGTATGTATGTATGTGCGAATGAATGAATAAATGTGTTTTCATTAACACATAATGAAAGAACTAAGATTGAATAACGTGAGGATCTCTCTTTTTCTCTCTCTTTTTTTATATATATAAATATATGTATCATTGAATAGCCCGTATTATCTTGCAAAACAGAAAAAAAAGAAAAATCACAAGAAACTTGTAATTTGTAACTTGAAGAAACAGCGTGTTGTAATAGAATTTTCAAACATGTTGAGAGATATTATTAGATGGTCTTGTTGGATTTTTGTTGCAGCTTTTTTTGCCTTGCATTCGTTTATGTAAATAATTATTATTTTATTACTATTATTATTTTATTATTATTAATTATTATTAGATATTAGCGATAAAATGAGAAGGAAGTATGATGAGAAATGTTTTTTCTTTTCCGTAAGGTACACGCTTTAATATCTTCCTTGTGTTTATAACTTGTAGGCTATTAAAACAAGAATGCTATTACGTTAATTAAATAATATTATTATTATTAATTATTAATTTTATTATTAATTACTATTATTGTTTATTTCATTATTAAATATATAAATAACGATCCATGTAAATAATTTAGGAGAAAGAAAAAAAAACAAACAGATTATCTAAATAAAACATTAATAATGGTGCTTTCATATATGTGTTATTAAAATTTCATGCATCTCTTTCATTAGACCTTTGTATTAAATGACGACACCATCGTTATTTTCGTTCCGCTTTGAGAATCAATGAGATATTTTTATAAACCGATTATCGGCAACAACAAAAAATCATATATATATATATATATATATATATGTATATATATATATATATATATATATATATATATATATATATATATATATATATATATATATTAATAAATTAATACTATAATTAAAAGAAGATCACAGATGCGTGAGAAATAGATAATAATTTGATACTTATTATTAATTAGAGATTTAATATGTTTTCGATTCAAAAGTTAATCATTATCACGATTGAATCATTCTTTCAATTTCATATTACACACATATATATGTTACATACATACATATATATATATTTATGAAACAGACACGTATATATATATGTCTGTTTCATATAGAAAATGTATATACAATCGATATATACCGATGACAATATAGAAAATGTATAATTTTCATTCTCATTCTTGCTCTGTATCTTTCATCAGATTGTTTCAACACCTTTGCCCAGATCAGACCATCTATCTGGTACTGGTAGAAAATAACGATGCATCGCTGCTATAAATCTAGCTCTATATTCTTCCGGTGAGATTATGGTTGGTAATTTTCCTTGACCACCCAATATGCCAGATTTCTTCACCATCGTCTCCAATTTTTTGTCCCACGTGAACGTCCTTATATAATCTGATACAATAGCAATAATTAGTAAATTTTTAATAAAAAATGTGAAACGTGTGTGTGTGTGTGTGTATGTATGTATGTATGTATGTATATATGTATGTACGTATGTATGTATGTACACAATAAGAAAAAAGAGACATACCTATTATACCCAAAACAAGTTCGCCTGAACTCGGTTCCAATCCTACTAATAGCGAATAATCCATAACAGAATTATCTGCTAAAAATTTGGTGTCGCTTCTAATCGCTTTATTTAATACAACCTTGGAATGAGATCTGATGTATAAAGGTGAGTCGCAGCTCACTAAACAATTAAAATATAGTTATAAGATAGAATATTATAGCAAGCTTTTTACATGACACCTACTGTTCAATAAATTTTCATCCAACAAAACTAATTCCCCTTCATGATCGATATCATCTGGATTTACCAGTCGATTCCTTATGGATCCTTTCAAATCAAACTTGTCAGTGATCTCTCGATTATAAAATAAATTCTCCATTACCAAAACACTCGTTCTTATTCCATTGTTAGTCGTATCATTTTTGAAAGATACTCTATAAACTCCTACTATCTTTCCTAGTAATGTTGGTTGTTTCATTTGCTGACACTTTTCCATATAAGCAAAGTAATTTGGTGCAAACCTTAAAAATATTTGCATTTCTAATTTGGACATCTCCTTTATAATGAATCGATCGTCTGAAAGTAATTAATCGTTGAGGAAAATATATAGAAATTTGATAAACTTATATTCAATAGTACATGTATTTGAGAATACCTCTACTTTTACAGAAAGCACTTCCACTTTTTCCACCCCTGGCTACCCATTGAACAGTCCTGCTCAAGCTTCTAGTGTATCCATCCTCTCCGCAAGGTAAGACGTTCCTTCTTAAAGCAGCAAACTGAGCTGCAAAATATATCCTACAATAAAAGTTTGTCGTTGTATCGTTGAACTGAACTTCAATGTAATTCTGCTGTTTTATTTGTTTTTTGTCTTCGTCAGTTTCTGTTGAAACATTAACGTTCTGTACCATCGATTCCACACTTAAAACATTCTTATCAGATTCTATTGGACTAGCAGGATTTGGACTGTTGCCTCTTAAGAACGATAATACCGATGGTCTCTTAAAATCTCCTGATTGTGTTAATTCTGAAGAATTCTCCTTGTTCTCAGAAAATTTACGTTTGTACAATGGACTGGAATTCAATTCTGGACCTTTTGTTACACGAAGTAATTCTTGCAGACTATGTTTGTAGTCATGAGAATCTAATGCATAGGCTATTATGGAAGATAATTCTGATTCATAGACCACCACTGGTACAACAGAACTGAAAAAAAGTTAGTGTTATATATTTGATATGTTGCATTTATATTATTTTAATCAAGTAATATCTACCCAAGTGGAAGTAAAGTATGTTCCAATGGGCCTAATGGATTAGCTATTGGTTGAGTTACTGGAATAGAAGGCAATAATTGAGACAAGATCGTCTTCTTTTTTTTCTTTTTATCAGGCATGTCTTCCGATGTTAAAGGTAAAACATCCGAATAAGATCTCTGATGCATTTTAGGTGATCCCTGCACGATAATAATATCTTCAGGATTATTGATCTCTGGAATTTCATTATCAGAATTTTCCATGATATCTATACTCTGCAAATCGTTCTGTATCACTGCAATTGCATCCACTGCATTATAATCAGCTGACATTGGACTTAGATCTTCCAATTGTGATTCCGATGCCGTATCCTCTGTTATATATCCATCAGTATCTATCATACCACTACTACCAGTTGTCATAGATCGTTCAGTGAACTTTCTCGTTCGTTCATCTTTCTTTTTAGTTGAAATCTCTAAAATCCTTGTGTTCCAGGTAGACACAGCTTCAGAAATCAATCTTTTTAATATGACAATACCATCTTCGATTCTATACATAAGAGCTTGTACCTGCTTTTCTGAAATCTTCCCTTCGAGTTTTTTATTTTCTAAAGTCGGTGAGGTTAATTTCAATTGTATCTCCTCTATTTTATTCTTGAAATACTGTTGATCTTTCATCATCTGTTGCTTAGCAGTATTTATACTTTCAATGTCTGTTTGCAATGAACTTAACTTTTCTCTTATACATGTAAAAACATCGTCCCCTTTTAAAGCCAAGGTTTTCATCTCTTCGATAACATTAGCATGTTGTTTTGCATCATAAATAATATTTATAACAGGTGGTGGTAAAGAAATCTCCCACTGAGAGATCTTTGTATACTTGAACACGGCTAGCATATTTTTCCTCGTGAAATACTGATAATGATCATGATGGAGAGAATGTTGACAATTTTCAGCATCCCTTCTTGTATATGCACTACCATGAAATCTTAATTCAAGATATTTAGCAAATGATAAAGACCAAGTATCATCTGACATTGGTACGACAGGTGAAACACTTTTACATTTTATACACTTGCTCCACATAAGAATTTGATTAGTATTTTCCTGACCGAAAGGTTCAGAATTCATTTCTCTTAAACCAATTCGTACACAGCCACCATCATGAGCAAATCGTCTTACATGTTGAGCTATTTGCGCTCGACAAGTTTTAGCACGACACTTGTACTCTGAAGTTAAGCAATAACGTTCTAGAAAACATCCCAATGCTATATCATTTCGCCCATACAGATCCATGTTAACAGTCCAAGGATATACACAAAAAGATGGAGTATTGTTGCTAGTATGTGACAAGCTACAAAACAATACGGACAAACGTTGATGGTTAACAGGATCCAAACAATCTGGCCATGTAGATTTTGGCTCAGTAGTTTCTGCTTGTACGTTTTGCTGTTGTCTTTCTATCACAACATTGTTCGTTGGATATAATCGACTTCCACAAGCTCTGAAATGTGCTAGAAGTGCCTGAACTTCTTTACTTTCAACATCGGTTGTTAATTTTGCTTCTATGAATGGATGCCTAGGTTTAAGTTTTAAATTTAACAGAGGTTTATCAGGTACATTTTGTTCCACAGAAACGCTACTAGTCCTTGTTTCTTTTGTTTTATCTAAGAACTGTTCGGAATAATAGATTTCTTTCGGAAAAAAGGTTCTTAAAATACAATTTCTTCCAGGTTCGGTCTCTAAATAAGGTACTGAAAATTTTAAATAAGGTGACATGCTTAGAACTGTACCCTCTAAAGCTTTCTTAAACTTATTTAACAATGGTAAGTCAGCAACACTTAAGCACTGCCCATTTGGACTAGTCTGATCAAAGACATCTTCTTCATCTTCGTTTAAATATTGATGCAGTGGATCACTATGATCACTAATAGATTCACCATAAATGCGTTTCTCTTCTATATATCTTGATACATTACTTTGCTCTTCTGATTTTAAGTCCAGATTGTTTCCAGAATTATATATATCATTTTGTATATCTATGTTATCCCTGACGGTACTCAAAGTAACATTCAAATCGCTATCATGAGTACTGTCTTTAGATTGATCTAAGTTTTTTGAATTATTCGTATTGGATCGGATCTTTGTTTTAAATAATTTCAAAGTATCATAAGGATCACAGTCCTCGTTCAATATAGAAGATATCTGCTTAAGCGCAGCTGAGTTCAATAAATTATCATTTCCATTGGGATTTTCTATATCTTCATCTTTTACAGACGTGTTGTGATTAATTGGACATGTATTATCTATACTCTCCCCATTGTTAGAGATATTTCTACTATCATAAATTTGTAATAATTTTGTATTTTCTTTGGTATTCATGCTTTCGTTATTTTCGATATTCGACGAAGTTTCAATGCTATCTTTTCCTTTGGTAGCTAATAATTGTACACTACTATCGCTATCCGAAGTATTCTTCTTGAATGTTTCATCCAAGAAAGAGTTGTCTTTTGGAGAAGGTGGTCTGGCGAATTCATCCATGAGAAAAGATTTTTCCAGACGCCAGGAATATGCAGCGAATATCATCATAGATGTAACATTTTTAACCTTCTTCAATTCTGGTAAAGATCCACCTCGTAGTAGGATGGTAGATCCCAAATGTGCGTTTGCACAGCCCTCAAAATACATCAACGTTTTTATCCCATCTATTAAATCAAAAAAATAAAAGTTTTTATCATGTATTTTATTATTCATATCAAATCAAACAATAAAATATACTCACTTTGATCATTAGGAAAATTACGTAAATAAAATTTTTTACATGTACCAAGCATATAACGAGCACTAATATGAGCATCAACAGTTTTTACAATATTTGCACCAGTACATCTGGCTATTCGTTCTAGTACACTTAACTTAACATTTAAAATAAGAGTAACACCACATTCCCTGAGTCTATCTTGTGCTAATCTAGAGACAGATCGATGAACGAGAACTATGTCAGGTCCAAGAGCAGTAATTCTAGCTACTGTATGACCCAAGTACTCGTTCTCCTGTAATTACTTTTGTTATTTTTACATAAATAGAGTCTGTCGAAGAGATAAGTATATGTTTACCTGCATCATCACAGGTTCCAAACTTAATAATTTGCCTTCTACACGTTGATACATTAGTCCACATTGTAGTAACAAAATTTTTGGATGAGCAATCATCGCATTCATTCCACGGTGAGCTACATTTTTAGTACAGACTACTCCTGATACTATTTCACAATCATCTCTGCTGCCTCCAGTACATTTTTTTATCTGTACATAATGTCGAATGTCTAAATCGTCAGCATTGTGATTTAAATCAGGCTTGACGTGATCCACTATTTGATGTGCAATGTTTAATATAACTTCAGACCAAATTTGAGATAAACCTTCTTTGTTAAGAAGTTGTTTGATCAATGAGTCTTCGTGCTGCTTATATACAGAACTGTAATAAATAAAAATGTCAATTTTTTAAATTATATTTATCTTTCAATCTTCTGTTTTATATTTTACTTACGTTAAACAGTTGTAGGCACTCATTTCTCCAAATGCAGTTCTAAGATTAGTCATCTTATGCCAACCACTCTTTTCTTTGATTTCTTGTACTTGAAACGTATCACTTAAAAGATCATCGGATACTTTAAAGTTACACTCATGAGATTTTATGTTTACCTCTTTCTGTTCGGTAACTCCATCATTACTGTCTATCGAAATTGTTGTTAAATCTTCAGACGTTGGTCTTTTCAACGTAACAGTCGATGCTTCTAGATTTAAATCTAAATAAAAGCTTGAACTTGAGGATGGTAAACGACCACTAATTTGTTGAACCGAATTAGTTGGTTTCGATTCGCTTTCAGAATCTAAAATAAGTACATACAATATAATATAATTATTTATATAAAAATAATAGATAATAATTACCTGTGGTTGAATCATGTTGAGGTATAGTATTTACCCAAGCAGGTTCTTGTGCATCGCATGTAGTTTGATTTTCCGTTAATAAATCTGTACTTTGCATTTGAGATAATTGGACTGGTTTAAATATTGCTGCGGTATCACTAAAAACGTTCTCGGAAGTAATAGGTTCTATAAAACCTGCTTCGAGTAATGCTTGACCTATAGCAGTAGCTTGTACCCTATAGAATATTAATTATTTATTAAGAATTGTTTATTCCTTTGGCTACCAGGCTCATCTATGCCATATATGCAAAGATTGCCTAAACCAATTTGATACGCACGTTTCTATAAATTACTTCAATAAGAGGAAAATATCAATTTTCTGAAGGAAAATTATAGTATTTATTTTTTCTTAAACGAATCAAATATTAAGTTTTCGGTACTTTTGTTTTCTATTACAAATTGATTTGATATTATGAATCAACTAATCCGAATATTATAAGTGAAAAAAGTCAGTAAAACGTTTCGATTTTAATAAGCGACAGTACACGAAAGACTGAAGAAGAAAGGAGCGATGCATTAACAGATAAAAGAGAAATACAATACTAGGTAGAGATAATCTCATTTGAGCAAAAGCCCCTTAATTCTTAGAAGAGCAATAATCTGAATGTAAATATATGGAATAGGTTCGTGGCAATTTTCGTATAGGTACTGAAGGCCAATAAATCGGTTCACTGGCAGCCAAAAGGTTAAATATATTATGATCTATTACTATTATACCTGGTTGCTGCTTTATTCTGCGCAATCATCCAATTTACTAATTCACTTGCTATGAAACAATTATGGTAACTTTTCAAACGAATTCTGTGGGTTTGTAATAAAATTGCCTGGCTTGATCTGAATAACTCTTCATAAATCATTCTTAGTGATGCTGAATTTTGAAGAACAAGTGAACATTCTTGTGATGTTAAATAACTATTCGCCGATCTAAATCATATGTTTATTAAATAATATTAAATAAATGATCATAATTTTGTGTTGAAGATAAGATAATGAAGTATACCGTCCAACAGCATATTTTTCTTCCATATAGCCAACACTTGGTTTTCTACAAATGGAAGTTTCACCTTCCGTACATTCGGATGAGTTTTTCTGAGTTAAAGGCGGGGAATCATTACCATATTTAACTTGGAGATCTTCCTGTAGTGCTTTAAGATCTGCCGATAAATCGCTTCTCATGTCTGATGATTGCAAATACGACAAAACCACTTTGCAACAGTATGTACATACTCTGAGGTCACCTATGAAAAACTATTATTATAATAAAATGTTTCAATAAAAAACAATATCAAACTATAATATTTCTATACCTGTACATCCCATAATTTTTCCAGGAATTTGATCAGAACAACATTTTGAACAAAATATTTGTCCACAAACGCGACAATGATGTCTTCTACGAAAAGTTGTAAATCTTTCACCACATTCGTAACATTGTTTGCTTACGCTATCTGGCATCCAGTAACTTCTAAGTTCAGAATCTTTATATGACCTTAGATTCTATAATTAATATACTATGTCAATACATTTAATTAAAACTATATAATAGTAACAAAGAAAAACATACGCTGCTTTTGGAAGCTACGATATTTCTTATACGTTTTAAAACACTTGGTAAACTACGACCCTCATGTGTATCTAAGGGAAAATTAATTATACTAGAACTATCTTCTTCCGGTGTTTTTTCTGTACTTTGCGATTGCTTCCAAGAATCAGAATCAGATGAACTTTGCTCGTCATTATTAGAAGAGATAATGGAATCGTCAGCATTTTGTGGACCTTCAAGATATGAATAGTATTTATTTAAAGTATGATATACACATCATATTCGTAAAAAGAACTTAATCATTTTAAAACACACTGCAATATATATCAAAGTAATTATGAAAAATTACAATTATATAGCTTACTCTTGGCAAAGCTGAAAAATTTGGAAAAAAGTGAGGCAACAACAGGTTGACTTTCCTCTGGACTCAACGGGGCAAATTCTGTCAACTTTGACGGTGAGTTCATATTTTTATTCATTTTCTTTTAATTTATGCTATCTATCTATATACATTTTTAAATAAAACTTTACACAAGACACTCCTCCGTGAAACTACATCATTATTGATAACATTTGTACTGATACTAGAGTTTTTGACAACAGCTTAAATAAAAGCGCCATCTTGAACCTATTCATAAAATTCGCGTTACTTGAATACGTATCCTAACCTAAATGCGTATCCTCATTGGTTATACTTCCTAACATATGTTATATTTTATGAGTGTTGATTGGTCAATTTTATTATTGCACATTTAAACAGTATAAATGGCATCAGTTGAAATTATCCAATAAGAAAAAAGATATTTGTGAATATTGTAATTTTACTTGTATGATGCATAGACAGATGACACACCTTCCCACATCGTGATTTCGAAAATATTTGGAAACATTTTCAACACATTGTATGACAGTAACGCACATACGTAACCTGTTTCGATAAGTGTATACACAATCAATTTAATTTAATTATTTTAATCGTGAAAGAATATCTTTTATTTTTAATTATCAAGGAATGTATAATGGTTGTCGAATAACCTCGTAAAACATTTATGATTATATCATAATAAGAAATGAGATAAATTTATTATATGATTTGTATGTGTTAAATATAGTTAAGAAATGGAAGATTTACAGAAATTAGAGGAGGAAGCTAAGGTAAGAGGTACACAACATGTAACAAATATGTTGCAGAGACCTGGGCAATTAGAAAAAATTGAAGCATATAAACGTAGAATAAGCAGAAAAAAAGCTTCTGTAGAAACTATGCTTAAAAGTGCAATGCAAAGTCAATTAGATGGTATTAGAGTTGGTTTTGAACAATTGCAAAGTTCTCTTGAAAGTATAACTACTATAAAAGAAGAATTAATGGAGATAGAAAAATTGTTTAGTATCGTACCAGAGCTTAGTATTAAGTTGCAACCAGTTCAAGATGAAAATATGCGTCATTCTCAATATGTAACTGCTAAGGAAAATTTGAAACATATATTTACGGTACCTGAAAGCGTGGAGAAGACTAAACAATGGATAAATGAAGGTAAGCTTCTACACGCGCATCAAAGTTTAATGGATCTAGAAAATTCTAGAGACGATTTACTCTATGAATTACATAAGCTTCCAAATCAATCGATGGCAGATACCATTATGCTAAAGGCTTACTTCGAGGATGTAGAAATATTATCACAATTAATGGAAAAACAAATCAGACTTGTTTTAAGCCGTACTTTAAATACGGTAAGAAAAGAACCAACTGTTATAGTAACCGCGTTAAGGATCATAGAGAGGGAAGAGAAAGCAGATCATTTTGCAATTCAAAGGCACAGACAAAGTGGTTTTATGCCACCTGGAAGACCAAAATGTTGGAAAAATATGGCAATGAAAATATTGGAGAAGTCAGTAGCAAATAGAATCGAAGGTACTCATGTTGAGGAAAGAGCTGATAATAAAATGTGGTTGGTAAGGTATTTAGAACTCACTAGACTTTTAATTCTTGAAGATCTGAGAGTAGTTAAAACACTTTGCGGCCCGTGCTTTCCACCATGGTGGAATATTGTAAATACATTTGTAAAAATGTATCATACTAGTTTATCCCAACATTTAAAAGACATAATTACTAACGGTTTAGAAGGAAACGAGTATGTATCTTTGTTGGCTTGGATTATGAATACATATACAGGACCGGAATTAATGAAACATCCAGAATTAAATATAGATCCAAGAGATATTGGACCTTTGTTAAGTTCTGAAATGATAAATGATCTACAACAGAGATATTTGAAAAATATGTGTCAAAATTATGAAGATTGGATGAAAAAGACTTTAGAAACGGAAAAAGTTGATTGGTGGAGTGGAGTTCTACCAGAAAGTAGCACCGAAGAAGCTTATTATCATACTGCTGCACCCGTTATTATATATCAAATGATCGACCAAAATCTTCAAGTTACAAAAACGATTAGTTCTAATTTAACAGCTCAAGCTTTGATCCTTTGCATAGAACAAGTTACTAAATATGGTTTCATGTATCGACAGGCAATATTAGAATTTAAAAGTAAACATTTTGAAGACAGAAGTCGCGTACCTTACTTTACTCATCATATGATTACTATTGTTAATAATTGTCTACAGTTTACAGAATTGGCTCAACAAATAAAACAGATCTATTGGGTTCCTAATACAAGTGGTGATGCCACTGTAAAGTTTGAAAACCTTTTAGCTCATTATCAACAACTTAGAAACGAAGCAGCTGCTATTTTATTGGAGGAATCCTTTCTTGATTTAGAACTTCATTTTCAAGATTTGATTACATCAAAGTGGTTGCAATCGTCTATTCCAATTGCAACCATATGCGTTACCCTAGAGGATTACTTTCAAGATTATAATCATCTCAGTTCAAAAAACTTTGAGTATGTTATAATGGAAGCGCAGAATCTTATAGCAAAGCGTTATATATCAGCCATGTTCCAACGAAAAATATCCTTTAAGACCTACGACGAATGTTTAACTTGTACTTCAAAGATAATAACGGAAGCTGATAAATTAAAAAATTTCTTTGTTAAAATAGCACCTAAAGTAGGTAATTACAATTCACCTTTTGAGATAATCAAACGTCTTGCTGAGGTATTGCGATGTGAAGATTCAGAAATTCTTTCTCTTGATTTACATTCATTAGTGGAGAAATATCCTGATATGACGGAAGATCATTTAGTCAGATTACTTAGCCTTAGAGGAGATATTCCACGAGGTGAAGCTAGAGAGAAGGTGTCTTATATCTTAGAGGCTCAACGCAATCGAAAGACATCACAAACTATAACCAATAGTATATTTAAGCAAATAATGATACAAGACAGCTTCCTTAGTTGGAAACCTTGAAACTGCAAAGATATGTTTAGATCAAACGCAATATAAATTTTTTTAAATGTAAAACATAGTAAATTCAGCATAAAAATTTAAGTTAATACTTAAATTACTATTATACTGATTCGCGGTAGTTCATAAAAAAAAAGAAAAACAAATTTGCTATTTTGTTGTCCATATTAATCGCTTGTATATGATTTGCTTTTGTATGAGTGAAGAAAATTGAAATTTAAAAATCCTATTTAAGAAGATGGTATAATAATGATCGTGAAGTTAGATTATATTTGTTATGTAATAATATTAATAATAATAATAATAATAATAATAATAATAATAATAATAATAATAATTTGCTTCGCGTTACTTAGTGCAATCTCGCGAAATTTTATTGACTTGCCATCTACCTCACAATGACTGATGTAGCTTCAATAATAATAATAATAATAATAATAATAATAATAATAATAATAATAATAATAATAATAACGATAATATAATGAATACTAATAAATTCCACTGCCTTTGTACAAGATTTGTAACATAAATATGTATATTATATATTGGTAGATAAATGTGATTAAACATGAAATCGATACAAAAGGAAATATTAAACAGAGGGAATATTGAATAGAAGAAATTTTTAGTTAACTAAGAAGCCATTGTACTTTAACCCCTAATAGAAAAAATTTATATTATTCAATATAATTGTATATGTGCGATGCCGTTAAGTTTTGTTTATATCTATTTATTGCAGCATGTATAAACAAAACAATTATAATTCAAGAAATAATATATATTTTTATTTATACTGTATTTTCATTACTCATACTTGATAATTTGTATTTTTTCTTTTTTTTTCTTCGAGAGACGAAGAGGTTACGTCTTTTTTATAACCATAGAGATAACCATTCAGATATTTTTACAGAATGAAATAAAAAAAAAACATTTAAAATGGACATTCGTTCTCAGAAGATATCTAATTATTGGGAAAGCAAAAGAATACTAAAAAGGTAATCGATATATTTTAATTATATTATTCTGCATTACAGACATACGCCTACTTCTAATCATTCGATGATAACAAAACATTTATCTACCGAGATCAAAGTTCCAAATTTCCATTAATTTATCGAGTCTAATCAGTTGAATCTGCCGCCATATCTATATAATATAATTATAATTAACAGTAAATTAATTATAAAAAAATTATTATCGACGACTTATGTGAATAAAAAAGAATTTGATAATGGTTCGAAACCAATCCATTAATTATCAATGTTCGATTATAAAAGCCTTACACTTTAACGATTCATTACTTCACCTTACAAGCATAATAATAATAATCTATGAAAATATCTAACATTTTAACTACCCATGATTGTCCTCGTAGAATAAAGGAAAAGTATCATTCTGGAGTCATTCGCTCGTTTTAAAATACATCGATGTCTACCCTGCCGAAAGCCATACTCCGTAACACCTTTGTAATTCACACACATACGTATACACGAATAGAGCCATATCAGCCAACAAAGGTAATTCGACCAATGAGAATTTTGTATCAAAACCGCAGGAAGAAAAAGAAATCAGAAATCTTCTCTCTCATCCTTCCGTTCCGATAGCTTGACCAATAGCAATACTAATGTAAAACAGACTGAAAACGAACGGACCAATCACCGGCGTCATCGATAAACGAAATCATCTGATTGGTCAAAAGACTCACAGTCTTTGATAGGTGTGTCGAATGGGCGTAAATGTAGTTAAAATAACCACGCCTACTAGTTTTCGTTCAATCAGGTTAGAGTCGACCAATGACACGATGGTAACGCTCGTCTGACAACGTGGCCTTGGTCGACGCCCCTGCATTTCTCTTGGCTAACTAACAGCGTTTCCCCGCATTCGAGAGTCGGCGCGTCGATGTCAGCCACTCGGCCAGCAAGTCCCGGCCACCCTTCCCTTCTGCGTTCGCAATTCACCCCACCTCACTTCTATCCTCCTCTTTCACCCCACACCCACTCAATTCCCCCTTTCAATAGATAGGGCAACGTAGCAGCCAAAAGAAGAGCCGCGTTGGAATCGCGTGACATATCCTATCCGACGGCACTTCTCAACGACGTTGCTTTACGTTCGTACGCCTGTATGTATACATGCGCGCGCGCGTATACATACATAATACACACACACACACACACATACTGTCATCTCACGAACGACCCGTGATTCCATACAGAGGCCGTGGATATTGGAAGAGATGGTTACTTTACCAACCAGTCGTGCAAAACTCTCACCCCCCACTCCTTTTCTCTCTCTCTCTCTCTCTCACTCTCTCTTTCTTTCTATTTCTCTTTCGTTCTTTTTTCATAGGATAATGCGCGTAAACTCACACACGTACATGGCTATACGCAGGAGAGGAGACTTACCCGGGCACGAGCGGCCCTTCCTGGAGGGAGGACGTTCAAACGAGAGAGATGGAGCATCGATACGTGTGTGCCTCTCTCTCTCTCTCTCTCTCTTTCTCTTTCTCTTTCTCTGTGTGTGTATGTGTATGTTTATGTGTGTGTGCGAGAGAGAGAGAGAGAGAGAGAGAGAGAGAGAGAGAGAGAGAGAGAGAGAGAGAGAGAGGATAGGTACAGTGAATCTCGAAGCCAGGCCGTCACGGAGAATGCTTTGGGACTTCGCGCGACTCCCTTGGCGCGGTGTCGTCGGTACGGTAACCAGTTCGGTTTTCCGTCTGGGGATGTTCGACTTTTGACTTGAGCCGCGGAGAATGGGCACAGGTCAGTCCCACATCCTTCTTCTTTTAACCTCATTATATCAAAAGTCATAAACTTAATCATCATTCTTTTTTCTAATCCTGATTAACTCTATACGATACGTTGTGGAAAAGAAAAAAAAGAAAAGAAAAAGAACCAGTTATAGTGGTGACTTCGCGCCGATTTTTTCAGCCGCCATTAGCTATCGAATCGAATCGTGACGTCATCTACGTATACACCAAGAGCGGGAAATTTAAATCGATTTTTTGTTTGTTTCGTTGTTCGTTTTTCTTGTTTTATTCGTTTCATTTTAATTGTTCATCGGTGATTTCTTTTTTTAAATTATCGAAAAACAAAGTTTGATTCCTGTGAATATATACATGAAATTTTAATGGTCTTTTTCGAAATCAATTACAACATTATGTGTGTGTACGCGCGTGCGTGCGTGCGTGTATGTATACGTTAAAGAATTCATTTTTTGCTTTTTTGATGATTGAAATCGTCGTGCATGTGTGTGAGTGTGTGTGTGTGCGTGCGTTGAAAATTTTGAAGGATCAGCTTAATAAACTAAACTAAACCAAATCATAGTTCACTTTTGTCATTCTTAGAGAATCTTAAAGGGGAAAAAGAAAAAAATTTATGAAAAAATAAATAAAATTATTTTCAATAATAAATTCGATAAAATTTTTTAGTATTAGAAAATTGAATTTTTGTTTTGAGAATTTTGATACTTAGATAAATAAATAGAGAATATGTAAAGGAATCATATAAGAGGAATCATTTTGATGGGTTTATAGTTAATAATGATACATTTGAGATAACGATTTATTACAACACAATAGATGAGGAAGAAAGAGAGAAATACCTAGATCGAAGGCGACCAAGGAAACGTAATCCATTGGGGTTGCCTTAGCAAGGCTGATCGTGTTACGTTGGTAGGTACAGAAAGAAAGAGAGAGAGAGAGAGAGAGAGAGAGAGAGAGAGAGAGAGAGAGAGAGTGGGCGTGAAACAAAGGTGGTTAATTCCCCAGGCCAAGAACTGGAAGCTTTGGTTGGCTTAGCTATGGCCGTGTTTTTCTTGCCGCGGATCATTAGGACGATTAGGGTTCCCGCGAAAAGGGGGAGAACAGATTAGCCAGCGAGCGAAGTCTTCTCGCTTTTCTTAAACGGATCTTATGTCAGCCCTTTTACATCGTAAACACCTTTTCATATTTTTCAATCTTTTCAAAAAATTCTTTAAAAGAACTTTCAAATAATATCTTGAAATTCACTTTCGACCGATAATAACATTTATTTTTCTTGTATATAAGTGTTAACATAAATATTATCTAATTGTTTAAGTATCTAATTGTTCTTTCGAAAATTTTATTTAATTTTTTTCTTAAATTTCTGAAAAAGGATTGTAAGGACATGTTTGTTATTTATACTGTTGTACTCAGTATTCAACATTTGTTATCTTTGTGTTTTCTTCTTGTTCTTTTTGTCTTTTTTTTTTTTTTTTTTTTTTTTTTTTTAGGAGACCGGTTACTCGACATTCTGTGTGGAGTATGCGGTGACCGTAGTTCCGGAAAACACTACGGCATCTACAGCTGCGACGGTATAATATTTTCCTTCGATCATCATTTATTTAAATCTAATATTTTGAAGTATTGCTTAAAGTAATTCAATTCCTTATTGACTTGAAAATTTTAAATGAACTTATTAATCGTTTTTCTCTTTCTGAAAGTTTTACTGATGTTTGTTCAATAATTCTTTTTTTTTTCTCTCTTTTTCTTTTTTTGTTTTTTCTCCTCTTACCCAGGTTGTTCTGGATTTTTCAAGAGAAGCATTCATAATCATCGAGAGTATACCTGCAAGGCACAAGGAGCATTAAAAGGGCGCTGCCCGATTGACAAAACTCACAGGAATCAATGTCGAGCTTGTCGGTTAGCTAAGTGTTTCAAGGTCAAGATGAACAAAGAAGGTGAGTAATTACCTATCTACCTACTTACCTACCTATCTACCTATCTATCTACCTACTCACCTACCGAATTGTTAAACAAAATATCGATTTAATTTAATAGAAGAAAAATTCGATTAGAAGTCAATGTTTTAGACTGATCTATCCGATTAGATAGGTTAACCAAAAGCTTCCTAAGTAAACTTTAATTCTGGGTTGACCAACTTGTTGACTGTGATCAAACGAAACACCATATGTATGTTAGGTGTTCCTAATGAAACTAGAGAAACTATTAGAAAACGGATCGTTTCGCTTTCGATGTGATTCACAATCATTATAGTTTTGTCTTTATTAGTTTAGATGATAAGTGATTTGATAGTTATAGAGATATATCACAGGGACAAAATTACAACGTCATGCAACGTTTCGTATTTGCCTAGTCACTCGCTTTGATCTTTTTATCCGACCTCACTTCATTCTAATCCCTTCACTCTCTTAAAACTTTATTACCAAAATCATCATATAAAAGACAAATTTTGATTCAGTTTTTTTATTTACATATTATAAAAGATAAGAGCTATTTTCTCAACAAAATTCGAATTATTATATTTATTTATTTCTTATCTATAGATTAAAATTTTTTAATTAGATTTGATAGAGGAATCAGAGAAAGTTTCGGGAAAATCAATTCTAATTACTTCTAATTACTTCTAATTACTTCTAATTTCAGTAAAACTAATTCTGTAATTACCAGATCCATTTTTAATAGATTAAAATTTTAAAAATTTTAATTATAAAAATAAGAGATAACCTGAAAGAAGATTCAACGATCTTGAATCATCCTCTTTATTAGAGAGAAAGAAAGAGAGAGAGGGGGGTACCCACATCCCTATGTACACACCTTCCGCATATAGATATACAAACACATGTAAGGAAATGTTCAACGTGAAGGTAGAAAAGTCTGATAGTGGAACGCTTTCGAGAGGTATGAAAGTTACGTAGAGAGAAAGTCTAGGTATAGAAAGGTGGGGGAGAAGGTGGTGGTGTTAAGGGGTTGGTTGGGAGTTACCTTTTGCTACCAACGCTGAGATACAATGATGGAGACGACGATAGTGGTAGTAGTAGTGATGGTGATGGTAGTGATGGTGGTGGTCGAGACGACTAGGTACGCTTTTCTGTGGTGCCAGGTAGTGATGGAGGAAGAGGAAGAGGGAAGAGGTAGAAGTGAAGGTGGAGGTAGAGAATGGATGGGGATGGGGATGGAATAAAATCGAGAAAGAGGGGGAGAGAGAGAGAGACCTCTCGACGGGGTGGCAGGGTGTTGGGGGTGTTTAATGCAGAACGGGTGCTCCGGTTCCCAGCGGTTGCCGAGGCTCCAGACGCGAGTAAGAGAGGAGATTCAATTAGTGGCAGAGCTTCCTAACGTTAAGGAGACTCCACACGGTGTTTAGAACATGACACCAAGAGATCTTACCTTTTAATCTTTCTTTCTCCAATCCCCTCTTACCTTATTTTTCTTTTATTTTCAATACTTTCTACTTTATCCAACAAATTTAAAAAAGTACTTCGATCACTTAATATTTTAGACTTATCTATTAATGTCTGTTTATAAGTCTATCTCTATTTGCTCTGCTCATTCTATTTATCTGTCCATTAATGCGTTGTTTGTTTTTCGTTTTTTGAAAAATTTAAACCGCCTCTTTAAATTAGATACTTTCTAAAGATCAATCTTGTTTATTCATCACTGAAAAACAAATATTATTAGAACTATTTTTAGAAGGAACGTTGTGTATAACCCATAAAAGACAGGTGACCACTCGGTATATATTATGTAGGCGGTATTCGACGCTTCGCGAAACGCAGCCGCAGGCGTGCAATCATCCGCTGCTGACAAGCCCAAAACCTCTAACCCCTGGCACCACGTACCAAGCTAGAAGCAAAAGACTCGCTACTCACACCCCTCAAACCTCCTAAATTCTCTCTCCTCTCTCTCTCTCTCTCTCTCTCTCTCTCTCTCTCTCTCTCTCTCTCTCTCTCTCTCTCTCTCTCTCTCTCTCTCTCTCTCTCTCTCTCTCTCTCTCTCTCTCTCTCTCTCTCTCTTATTCCCCTCTGATTCTCCCGCACGAAAATTCCTCCCTTTCATCCTCTTCATTCCTCCTCGTTGTTACTCTCGTCTACCTTTATAAATACCCTTCGCGGTATATATTTTCACGAAATATGGCGTTAAACGATATCAGAAGATTACCAAGCGGCTTATTACTTTGAATTTTCGGATTCTCCAGGGATGATAATATTCTTACTGTAATTCTTATTATTCCTATTTCATTATCATTTATCTTCTTCCATTTTTTTTATTGTAATATAATCGACTATTTAAATGATTAGTCACTATCTTGATTAAGTAGAACACTCCATTTTTGTTTTATATAACTTAAACAATGATTACTTTTCATTAAAAATTGACATCAACATTTATGAAACAAAATTTTCTTAATTATGCTAATAGATTTTATACAGAATGTTGTAAAAATTTACATTAAGACTTAACAGACAACATTATCTTAATTATTCTGATAAATTTTATGCAGGCTAACATAAAAATTCAGATTGACGCTTAACAAATAAAATAATCTTAATTATTCTGATAGATTTTATACAGTCTGCCCTACAAATTCAGATTTTAGACAAATTCAGATTTTGTCCTAAAAGTTCACACCAACACTTCAAAGACAAAACTTTCTAATTATTCTGATAGGTTTTCTTTTGTTTATATTCCCTCACTTCGATTTTCTGTTCGATGAGAAAGTTGTTATCCAATTGGGGAGACGAAAATTTAATCGTTGACTTGCAAACAATGAAATATATATATATATATATATATATATATATTCTATAGACAAACACATACACACATGTATATGTGTATGTTCTTTTCTTCGAGCGTATAGTCAACATCATCTTCAATGTACACACATTGGCCTTTCCACGACGATTCGCAAACTTTGTCTCGTTTCATGCCCAATCGATCCCCACTGCTACTTCTCCTCCTTCTACTTCTCCTCTTCAATTTGAAAGTTTAAATCTCTTTGTTTCTGCTCATAATTCGCGAGCACCCTTTTCTAAAAGTACCTACGAAGTACTTTGAACCGGAATTAAACTCGGCATTTCGACGGGTTTTCCTTTACTGTTTCTCTGTTCTTCCCTTTTCTTCTTCTCCGATTGAAATTATTCCGACGAGTAGATCTTCATTCAGATTTAACAAATTCTTTTTTTTCATTTTTCGTATTGAAAATAATCTTAAAATATTACTATTTAAATATATCGTTTTCTAAAAATATTTTGTCACATAGACAGAATCCTAAAATATTACGATTTAATCAAATTTGTTTAAACGAAATATATAATAATTATTTTTAATTAATCAATAATAGAGAAAAAATCATGGAACATCGAATATATGTCTAGAATATTTTGTTTGAATAACAAACGCTTATCAAAAGAAGATCGTGAGAGATAATGGGAATTATTTGAAATTATTATTTATCAAATTATTATTTATTATTTATTATTATTTATTATTTATTTGATTATTATATATTCGAGTGTGACATATGCGTAGAAAAGAGTTTGTTTAGAAAAAAGCTCAAAATGACACTCGAATGAGTATGTGTAGAAAAAAGTTTATGTAAAAATACGTAATATAATAATTTCTTTTTATTTTTTTTTATTTACTGCGACAAATTGATTATTGATCATTACACACTATCAAGGAATAGGATAAACAAAAAGAAAAAAGAAAAAACACCAAATTATAATAATTATTATAAATAATATATTTATATAATATATAATATCCATATAATATATATATATATATATATATATATATATATTTACTCAAATGAATTAAAACAAATTAAAAAATATTCACATAGTGAATATTATCAATCATAATTAATCATTTAATTAACACCGTATGTATTTGCTGTATTTACATGCGTACGTTATTGTATAATGGCAGATAAATTTGTTTAAAATAATTTAATTTAAATAACGATTTCTTTTTATCTAATGCAATTAAACCCATTTCAGTGATTAGAAAAGATAACGATTTATTATATTTAAAAAGATATACTATGATCAATTTTACATTTTAAAAAATTCGATTCCACGATAACGTATCATCATATATCGTGGAAATCGCATGCAGTGATATATATATAAGTAGTTCATTAAAGATTTTGCATATCAAATTCAACTTGTTGCAAATTGAATTCATCAAATTCATTTTTTGCTAATTTATTTTTGAATTCACATTCACTCTTTTGCAAATAAAATTCAATCTTTTGTGAATCAAGTTTTTTTACAAATTCCTTCTTTCAAATTATCGTATTTAAATAATTTTACATAAATTTCTGAAATAAAAAATGAAAAAATATTTACCAAAATGCGTTGGAAACTAAAATTTTAAATTATAGTTTATCAAAATTGTTCACTCAACAATTAACGATCTAGTGAATATCTATACGAGTTTATATTTTATTAACCTCAAATCACATATTTACAAGAAATTACTCTTTTCTGTAAATTGTAAGGATTCTAAGCAAATTAAATGTCGATATTACTGATGCTTGTCAAGAGATTATCCATTTAATAAAAACTAAAATTGTATCGATTTTATTTTGTTGTTACCTCTACACAAATTGTGACAATCATTATATGAATATGTATATGAAATTATTACCAACTGCTGCAAGAGAACCATTCTAGATTATGTTGTGTATACATCATTAATCTGCATATAGTTTTCATGCTACATATATTCGTACATATATTATGAATTCCATATGTAATGAATTGGGAAATACCTATTATTAAATAATTTTATATACTTATTATTTTATACTTATTTTATTCATTATTTATTTATTATATACTTATATTTTTGTATTACATACGATACAATTTTGAATTTCTTAACTATAAATTTACATTTAATTTTATTTTTATTACAAAAACTTAAAAAAACAATTTTGTAGAAAAACTTTATTCGCAAAATGGTGAATTTGGTTTGCAAAAAGTTGAATTTGAAGTGCAAAATCAGTATCATCTATCGTTTATCTATTTATATCTGTGTTCTGTTTTCTTGTATGCCACGCAATCAGTTCAGTCGTTAAATCTACTCTTAATATTTTATTATTTGTAAAGGACAACATTCATCTAGCTTTATATAATGTTATAACTCTAAAGTTATACATTTGCATATCTATATTTTTAAGTTTAATTTCACATTTTCGTCATAAAATTAATTATTTATTTCATAAGTTTCTAAAATTTTTAATGTTTTTAAAATAAATGTTACAATTAATATAGTATAATTATATTAATATAAATAATACTACATATAATTTTCACGTTACATAATTTTCTTTCTGATACGAAAAAAAATATTGGGTTAGAGAGGATTGAATTTTTTTTATCACTGTAGTGACTTTTTAATGAGATACACTTGTGGGATAATACAGCCGCTACAATGCCGTCATCTTTTTTATCTTGCACATGTTCGTTTGAAAGTTATTAACATTGATATTACAATGTATTCGAATTTCTTTAATTTGCATTTATTTCTTCTTTTCTTCAAAAAGTGATACTTTGATAACAGCATTAATCGAAATTTTTGAGAAATTTCTATCTTTGTCAATTTTGTAATAGCGTATTAAATAGTCTTGATATATTAATATCGTACTTTGTGGTATATCTGTCCGTACAGTGATACAGTTCCATGGTCAATTCAGAACATAGAGAAAGAGGGTTACATACACTATAATAATATTTATAACAGAAATTGAGATTTAATCTATCGTTTATTATTCTAAATCCCGAAGAAAGTTAATTGAATGGAAATCTTAAATACATAGACTGATAAAAAGAGAACATAAAGAGAAAATATACAAATTAGAAATTAAACTCATCGAAATGCTGCAGAATTTTCAAGATGTTTCAAAATAAATAATCCATTTAATTTCAAAGATAACAAATCATTAAAAAAAACAAAAAAAATTACAACGATAAAGATGAACGTGAAAGAGGATGATAAAAATGAGAAACTTTTGGTGAAAACATCCGAGAAATTTCGAGCCATTTTTTCGTAGCTAATTCGAATTTAAACGAATGATTAAAACTGGCCTAACGCTCGATGTTAATTCTTTCAGCGTTAGTTATGTAAAGGCATGACATTGTACGAGCACTGTGCTCGTTTCTGTAACGGAGTTCCCTGGGCGTTGGTATGACAGGTGACGATCAAAGCTCGGCTTAGCGCAACGACCCGTTCTGTCCACGAGCACATACATATATACATACATTTACTATATGTGTGTATAAGAGAGAGAGAGAGAGAGAGAGAGAAAGAGAGAGTGAAACGGGGAAGAGGGTGAGCGAGCACCGTTCGCCCTCTCTGTGAAGGCCGCTTTACCGTTTACCGTTTATGTGGATGGATTGATGCTGGCCGCCGCGTGTACGGCACGCCTCGCTTCGTTGCGTTACCAGCCGTCCACTCCCCACGCGACCGTTCTAACCCTCCTCGACCCTTCTCTCCATCTTTCTAACCATTACTCTGTGTCTATATGTGTGTGTATATGTTTGTGTGTGTGTATGTATATATATATGTATATATATATATATTATATATATCTTTTGTGGTCCTTACGTTTGCCTAGAAAGAACCTGGCCGAAGCCAGGACGAAGTCTGCCTTAATCGTATGACCAAGAAATCGTTCGAATTGTTATTGAACATATTGTTTCTTTAAGTTATTGATCTTTCTATTCTCTCTCTCTCTCTCTCTATCTATCTCTCTCTCTCTCTCTCTCTCTCTCTCTCTCTCTCTCTCTCTCTCTCTCTCTCTCTCTTTCTCTCGCTCTCTGTACATCTCTTGCAGTTTTTATTGTTGTCTGAAAGAATGTGGCAGAATCCAGGACGAAGCCTGGCTTGATGGTACCACCAAGAAATCGTTTTAATTGTTATCGAATATTTTATTTCTTTATATTATCCTTCTATTTATTTTCTCTCTCTTTCTCTTTGTGCCCCTCCACCTTTGTATCTCTCTTATGATACTTAGACTTGCTTGAAAAGAACCTAGCCGAAGCTTGATAGAAATTTTACTTTATGATATGATTGATAAATCTCTCCAATTGTTATCGAATATTTTATTTTTTTAAGTTATCCTTCTATCTGTTTTCTCTCTCTCTTTCTCTCTCTCTCTCTCTCTCTCTCTGTCTGTCTTCTTACCTTTCTTCTGATCCTTATGTTTGCGTAAGACAGAACCTGCTCGAAGTCTGGTTTAATGATACCATTAAGAAATCCTTCCAATTTTTATCGAATATTTTTGTTTTTTTTAAGTTATTCATCTTTCTATTCTTTATCTCTGTATCTTTCTTGTGATTCTTTTTTTTGGCTGAGAAGAATATGGCCGAAGCTTAGTATAATATGACTAAGAAATAGCTCCAATTATTATCGAAAATTTTATTTCTTAAAGTTATCCT